TACTGCCTCATTTTCTTTTAAGTAGAGAACAGAGCCTCCTCTCATCCCCCAGCCTCTAGATTTCTCAGACTTGAGGTCTCTAACTTGAGTGCCTCAGAGTTGCCCGAAGGGCTGGTTACAATAGAGGTTGCTGGCTCTGGGGATCCAGATCGGTATTTTTAACAGGTTCCCAAATGATCGTCTGCTGCTGATCCTAGGAGTACACAGGGAAGATCTTGGCTCCAAGGCCCTGATCAGGAGAAACGCAGAGCCCTTGGGAAGGCAACGGGCATGACTTGACACCAGATTCTATGTTGGGGGACTCCCCCGCTTTCTCTTAGTCTTTCCCAAGGATTCCTAATCCCAGGAATATAATTGAACTGAATGTTTCCTAAAGGCAGCAGCAGTGGCTGCTCTGTTTAAAAACTCTTGCTTGCTGCTCCCAGGATGAGCAGAGACTTGGAGGAAAATCATTTGCAACAATATCATGACTCACCCCGTCTGACCCTCTTTCCCCTCCCTGGTTTACTCTAGTTGTTCCGAGAAGCACTCATGGCCCAGTGACTGGAGCTGTGTGATAGCCGGGAAAGAAAGCCCAGGGGGCTGGGAATGTGCATTTCTTGGGCTGTTCACCAGGGATCCAGAGAACCATCACGTGTCCAGGCAGGAGGGACCTGGGTACAGGGTTTGCTCTGCCTGGCTGTGCAGCAGAAACACCTGGGATACTAAAATTAGGCAGGGAGTTTTTGGGGTGTGTATCAGTTTCAGATACACAGCCCCCAAAAAATTCTCTCAGAGTTATGCTCCCAATATGTATTCTAGAGCCTTCCCCAGTGATTGTAAAGCTATTGGTCTATGGACTGACTTTTGGAAATCATTGTCTTATGTTTGTTTAGTTCAGCTCCTTTGCTTTTTGCACAAGGAAACCAAGACCCTAAAGAGAGTCATAGTTTGCTCAAATCTGTGTGGTGTAAGTGTCGAGCCAGGAGTGGCTTTGAAATCTGATTTTCAGAGGTTGTATCATTTAACGAGGTTACAGTCTTTAGTTAAATTCTGAGCTGAGCTAGTACTCATGCAATGAATGGCCTTGGTGGTGATTTAAACTCTTAGCTGTAAAATGGTGATTAGTAGGAAAATTGAAATAATGAATGAGAATATGTTTATCACATGGCCTGGCACTTGATAAGTACCCTAAATGGATACTGCTATTACTAGGTTCTATTGAAATTACTGCCTGTACAATGGATCATTGCTTTATGTACCTCTAAGGGGGAAAGATAGATAGATAGATAGATAGATAGATAGATAGATAGATAGATAGATAGATAGATAGATAGACACCAGCAGGAAAATTAGGAGTATATCCTTGGAAGTTGCATTCAGATTTCAGAGGTGCTGACATGTGGGAAACATTTCACTTCTCTTTCCTCGGACCTATGGAGATGATTACTAAATTAAATGCTCGCATAGTCAAAGCTAATTTCAGAAGAAGCAGCATCCTTAGTGTGTTGGAGCAGCAAGGAGGCCAGTGTAGCTGATCTGATGGGGAAGGCGGAAGGGGTGTCTGGACCAAGACAGTCAGGGGGCAAATCACAGGCCCCAGTGACCAGGTAAGGATATGTGTAAGGTGGGAAGTTCGTGGAGATCTTTAAACAGAAGCATTATATGATCTGATTTACATTTTAGTAGATACATGTGATTAGGTAGACAAAGGGATGCTATTGAGGAGATTATTGCTCTTCTGCTGGGCATTGAAGAACCTGAGTTTGTCTAGAATGGTAGTGGGATATTGAGAAGCAGTAGGTGGGAATGTTTTTGAATGCCTCACAGGATCTTCTATCAACTGATGGCTGGATATGGAATATGAAAGATTCAAGAAAGTCCCAAGATTTTTGGCTGGAGTAATTGGAAAAATGGACTGGGTGAAATGGAAGACAGAGGGAAGAAATCTTTAGTGAAAGTGTTTGTTCAACTTTATTCTTACTCCAATCTAGATCTATCTCTAAGGTTTAGATTTTTTTTTTAAGATTTATTTATTTATGCATATAAGAACTGGGTACATGACAGAGCTGGGGGCGGTTGGTGAGAGGATTCACCAGAGACAGAGTGGGGAACAGAAAGGCAGACTGACTGAAATACACTGCTGAGGGGAGCAGCTGACGAGACAGAAGAGGTCTGCTGCCCCATATGGGTAACTCCCTGCCTGGGGATCAAACTTGTGCTGCAGTGGTTCAAATAGCTTGATAGGTTGTGTCTTAACCCCTTGTGCCACCAGGGAGGCCCAGGTTTAGCTTTTATTTTTTTAACAGGTATTTTGGAGTACTTAATTCACTCCTCCAATGTGCATAAAGTCAAAATAAAAAGAAGAGTAAGAAAAGGAACAAAATATTGTTCCTTCCCTCCCCCCCCCAAATTTTTCATCTGTAGGGGAGATAGAGCTTTCACACAAATAATTGTATTGCATTGCACTATACATCTGATGCCATGAGAGAGACAATAAAAATGTCAGAACTAAGAGGAAGAGGAAACTTAGGGGATTGGTATTACTGTCCTTCAAAAATGCTTGCCTTAGTTGAGTACAAGTTCCTCACCCTGCTCAAGGCTAGGAAGAGCTTAAGCTCTGCTTTCTGCTGCAGGGAGCTTGACCTCTTTGCTGCATTCCTGACATTCAAGAATGCCCTTCCTCAGTGCACCTGCACAGCATGTTCCCTTTACATGGAGCCTCACTCTCTGAGAGTCACCCTGCTTGGTGACTTCCTTTCTCAAGTCTCTGTTCAAAGTCACTTTATGTGGGAGTTACCTTGAGGTTAACAGAAAATAATGCCGAGTCCCTCCCTGTACTTTATTTCTTCCCCAGCACTTACAATCATCTCTTGTGTGTTTATTTGTTATTGTCATTGCCCCACACTAGAACCTAAGCTCTGTGACAATAGGCACTTGACTTTGTTTCCTGCTGTAGCCCCACCTTGCTCAAGACATTTTTGAGTGATGGAATGAATAAAAATAGGAAATTCTAAATAGCTATGGTCTGGTGTATTGAGACAAATTTTGAGTTAGGACTCAGAAATGTGATGGAGTCAAACCCTGACAGCCTGCCAGGTGTGGCACTCAGTGGGTCACCTCATGTACTTTGAGAGCCACAGTCCAAGCTCAGTAGCAACAACTGCACCACTCAAGTTATTGTACGGGTGAAAAGAGGTAAACAAGGGGATGTCGTTTCATCTTGCAGATGGCAAAAAAAATTATTTTAGGGATCAAGATGGCAGCTGGGAGTGCTCTGACATGGTCAAAGGAGCCAGGAATGCCTGCCTTGGCCAACCAGGCCCCCTGTGGGAGACATACATACAGGTGACAGTGGCAAAGGAAGAGCAAAAGTCTGCGTTAGTAGTAGCTGGACTTGTGTCTCAAATGCCACTGCGAGGGCTCTCTAGACTGAACTGGGACAAACAGTATGTGGGGTAAAGGCCCCCAGAAGCCTCTCCCTGCCCAGGAGGTCATAACCCTTAGAACTAAAATGCTTGGCACACCCAGCCACACGTAGGTAAGTGTGAAGGAGGGGACCCTTGACTCAGGGTCTAGCCTCCCTGCATAAAGGGATGAGGCAGAGAGAAGGCCATGCCCTGTGAGTGATTTTGAAATACCTCTTACCTCACTCACTGGTAATTTTGGACTTACTAGTATCCTGTAATTCATCCTCAAAGGATAAGCATTTCCTCATCCTTCCTCCTTTCAGATTCTCATTCCAGAAAGTTTAGAATTTGAGAATTTGTATGAATATACACTTTAGTAATTTGGGGTAGATACCTAGGTGGGGAGTGGCTACATGGCACGTGTGGATGTGTGCCTGGGAGTCCTCTTCTGCTCTGTTTTCTGTTTCATTGAAGTATTTGTCTAGCTTTACACTATGGTCACACCGCCTTGGTTACTCTAGCTTTATATGACTCTTAAAATCTCATATTCATTCTCTCTGACTTTCTTTTTCATTGTGTTGCAGCTTGGACCCTCATGGAAAAAGCTAGTACAATGGCAGTGCTCATCTTTGCTTCTCAGGGATTACTATCTCTGTTGTCAGATATACATTATATCAAAATCCAGTTTATCCTACTTCTTTCTCCCCCCTCCCCCTGTAGTGTGTCTCTGGTTTATAGTTGCCTGTTGATTTTTATTCTTATTTTATTATAATTAGTCTTTTTCCTGATCCCTTATTTAGGTTTTCTAAATTCCTGCTATGAGTGAGACCATCCAGTATTTTTCTTTTTCTTTCTGGCTTATTGCACTGAGCATGATCCTTGGATATTTTACAGGATGATAACTAATATGAAAATGCATACATTGTACAAAAATGAAAAATGATGTAAAAATGTATAAAATAAAAATTAAATGAAATAAAATCTAAACATCACTCGTCAAAAAAAAAAAAAATCCAGTTTATCTACTTGGCCCATTTTTTTGTTGCTTAACCCAGGGAAGTAGCTCACTCCCTGTTACTCTCTCTTAGTTGTAAGTGGAAGTTTATATCCAGAGATAATATTTCTTTCTAGAGGCCAAACATTGTGATGATGGGGCCAGAGCTGTGTGGCCAGTCCCTTCCTAGGAAAGTTGTTAGCTTTGCTCCATAGTGTCCTACAAAAGAATGCTGGTGATTATGAGGATGGCAGCACTGGTAGGAAATTGGTTACAAATGCATGTCTACTAATAAGGGAATGGGGATGGGCCACAGGTTATCTCCAGATAAAAGGGTACCTCAGCACGTTACGTTATGTTGCATTACTTTGTCAGAGTTTGAACCAAGATAGATTTGACTGAGGGTCAGTGTTGGAACACTGGAGGCTAGTGACTTTGGGGGCCAGGAAGAAAGGATGAAGAGGTCACAGTTATCAGGCTGGGCTTGTAGGTGCCATTAGCCAGATTTAAGTCATTTTCCTCCCTGTCTGGTAATCAATGACATTCTTCCTGGGGGTATCTGGAAATGAAAATGAAAGACATTTCTTCTCTTTTCTCTTTGTTTTCTCTTGGGTCAGCCATGTGCCGCTATCCTCTAGGCATGTCAGGAGGCCACATTCCAGACAAGGACATCACAGCTTCCAGTCAGTGGTCAGAGTCCACAGCTGCCAAATATGGAAGGTGAGGATGGATGCCCCCAGGAATCCTGAACTCTGGCATGGACAAGTTTCCTGTACATAATATCCTGACTTACAGTGCTTGGGAAGAAATGGAGTGTTTTGAGGGAGCTGGAGGAATGCATCTTGCAAGTCTTGGTAGGAAAGGAGTCAGGTGGAAGCATGTGCTAGCGTGGCAACCCCATCCCCACCCAGTAGATGATCCCATTGGTATACAGAGAATTTGCTTCCCCCTTCTCCTTGTGAACACTGTAGGAAGCACATGATAGTATAGCTATGGGAAGGGACATGTTACATAGGACTCTGGAAGTTAGGAGACCTGGTCTCCTTTCTGAAGGTGTCATGAATTATTATTCACAGTACAAAGCATCATGACCTTAGACATACATGGAGGCCTCCAACAAGTTCTCATCTCTCAGGGCTACCTCACATAGTCCCTCCTCATCTATAAATAGAGTGATCTTCCTGGGTCCTCTATAGTAATAAATTTCTTTGTCAAAAATGACTGCTTGTAGGGCCTAATCCACATTGTAGAATCTAATTCCTTTGGTATAAAGGATTGATTTCTGTTAAAATGGAATCACCCACAGGAAAGCAACCCTAGTAAACCTTCTCCATAATTTCTACCTAAGCACGTGAAAGACAAGAGTGATAGTTGTGGGGTTGGCAGGGAGTAGCAACGAGTATGTGACATCTTTGAGAAAAAGAACATTCCAGGGAAGAGGGAAATGGTAAGAGGTTCCAAAAATAAACCTTATACTAATTTTATAGTTTTGTTCACTGGTCATTCAGCCTGGAGTTAATATCATGAAACCAGATTATTTACAACTGTCCTGAATATTCTTCTCCCTTATCCTGCCATGGATTTCCATAACTTTGCTGAGAGTCATTGTCCACCCTGCTGGTTATAATTCCACTGTATTGTAGAAACCACTGGAAACCTTATGCTCCAGCTCTTCTCCCTCCCATAACTTGATATCCAAGCAATAAAGGGTGAGCCTAGTCATACGGGACTGGAAGTAGGAGGGAGCATGGCAGATGACCCAGTGGGGGCATAGAAGGTAGAAAGAGTTTCATGTCCCTCAAGTTCTCTCAGTCAGGATGGAAATAAAGGCTGCATGTTATCTGAAGGTTCTAGATCCTCTTTGGTGACTGTCTTTGTGGGTTTCATTATGCACCCTAGGGAGAAAACTGACCACAAGTGGGTGCTATGGGGGCAGTCAGGCTGGTGGGGAGACCCCAGAGTCAGTATGGACTGACTCAGGACAAGAGAACTGCCTGCTATGGAATGGGAGGCAACTCTCTTTTCATCATTCCCATCTGTCTCCCCAACTGTCATCTCTCAAGGTTGGACTCAGAAGGAGGGGATGGAGCTTGGTGCCCTGAGATACCAGTGGAGCCTGATGACCTCAAGGAGTTTTTACAGATTGACCTACACACCCTGCACTTCATCACTCTGGTGGGGACTCAGGGGCGCCATGCAGGAGGCCATGGCATTGAGTTTGCCCCCATGTACAAGATCAATTACAGTCGGGATGGCACCCGCTGGATCTCTTGGCGGAATCGGCATGGGAAACAGGTAGGAGGAAGACACATCCAGGACCATACTTTGACTTAGGCCAGAAGAGGAGTATACAGATTATGTGTGTAGGTATGTGTGTGCACACACCTCATGTGCCTTTGCAAACGTGTGACCCAGTATGAGCAAGGATGGGGGAGGGGATACAAGGCTGCTGAGCAAGTTAAGTAGCTTCCTTCTTCTCCATGAATTAAAAAGAGAGGGTCCATCAGAGGGATGGTGATGTGTCAGGTTGGCTTCATAGTATCTCCTCACTTTTTCTGTTTTCTCTCTTCAGGTGCTAGATGGAAATAGCAACCCCTATGACATTTTCCTAAAAGACTTGGAGCCTCCCATTGTGGCCAGATTTGTCCGCTTCATTCCAGTCACAGACCATTCCATGAATGTGTGCATGAGGGTAGAGCTGTATGGCTGTGTCTGGCTAGGTAGGTTCCTAAAGAGAGCTCTCATGGACCTTATTAAAAATCCCAGCCCCTGGGAAGTAAAAATCAGAAAGGGCTGGGATTAGTATTCCCTGGAATTAAGTGATTCCCTCTTCGTTAGAGTAAAGAGGGGAACATTGTCCTCCCCCCAGGACTTAGTGCCCTATACCTGGAATAATGCATTCTCAGTAACTATGCCAGCTACTCTGAGCTAGTGCTCCTCAGTAATGTTCCTGGGTGCCCAGATTGAACCCTGGGTAGGTAGACCTGTATGCAAGATTGCACCCTGGAAACCACAAATGGCTCTCTGGGAAAGGTAGTCTGAGCCCAGGCATATCTCCTTCCCAATGGCATGGACATATCTCTGTTTCTCTTGGCAGATGGCTTGGTGTCTTACAGTGCTCCTGCTGGACAGCAGTTTGTACTTCCTGGAGGCTCCATTATTTATTTGAATGATTCTGTCTATGATGGAGCTGTTGGGTACAGGTAAATTCTGGGAAACTTTGATCATCAGAATGTAAAAAAGGCTGCTAGAAAAGAATGATATTTTATCAGGATTTTGAATCAGTAAGCTATCTAACAACATTATTTATTTAGATTCCAGGCTTTGTGACAGAATTTAGATATATTGTCTTTATTTGTAAGGAACTTATAGTCTAGTTCAGGAAGACAACATAATAGCAAGGAAAGCAATACATTATACATAGTAAGGGCTAAACTGTATAGTATGACTCTAATTATGGTAGCCATATTTTCTGATCCTTAGGACATATGGTCTGATACAAATAGTGGTCTACTTAGGAAGACAAAGGACCAGAAGAACTGAAGTTATAAGGTAATACATTGGATAGGTTAAGAAGTTCAGGAAGAATGAACTCCACAAATAGAAACACTTCAGAAATTGTGAAAAGAAGGAAACTATTACTGTTTACAGTAGATGAGGAAGGTTTCTAGGATGAGATGTTGATTGAGAGGAGGTAGGTGGAAGGAGGCAGAGGAAAGGAAGCAGGGCTGAGGATAAGAGTGATCTGCCTGTAGCAGAAGCTAGAGTTGGTAACAGCAGAAGAACCAAGGGATAGACCTGGCATGGGTCATTGAGGGCAATGGCAGAGAAGTATAGTCAGATGCAGTAGGAATTTAGGGTTGGATGCAAGATGTGCCTACCTATATCCCCCCCTCATGCCATGCCTTGTCATCCTTCTACCTCACTTCAGCAGTGTTCTCTCTCTTAACTTGGTCTTTGTCTTCAAAGAGTGGTCTTGGTAGAGGTCAGACCACAGTGAAGTCCAGATTAGATGATGGAGGTTTTTAGTAGGTGTGAGAGAGATTAGTGAGTCTCACAAAGGAAAATGTACTCAAACCACTTTCATTGGCTTAGTTGTGAAGAATTAACTACTGCCCCCCCAGTCCCCCCTCGCCCCATTGTCCATCCCCTGAATAAAGTCCTGATTCATCCCTTGTCTATCTCTAGTCACTTCCTTTCCACCTACTTAATCACTGGAGATGTTCTTCACCATTTGATTAAACTATCTTGGCACATTTCACTCAGCCACACCCCAGCTAGCATAAACTCAAGGCAAAGAAGAAATCAGAGAAGGATTGCATTTAATAAATCCTTGCTAATCTACTGTTACTATGTGCAAGGAATTCGGCTAGTCATGGCAGATACTCAAATACAATGAAGTCATTGATCCTACTACTCATAGTTAGGAATGAGGGTCAAAACAGGAAATAAATTACTATGATGTAGGCCAACAGTAATGGATTTCTTATGGGTGCCTTGGGATTCAAAGGAAAGAGCAAGTCACAGTAGGAATGCATAGAATTAGGAGTGAAACCCTTGGATTCATGTAATAAAAGTGACTTCTATTGGTTATGAGGCCTAACTGATAAGAAATAGATAAGAAAAGCAAGGTGTAAAGGTGAAGTGCTAAATGCATGTAAGTTACAGGATTGGAGGGACAGAAAAGACATGATAGGATAGGTGAAGTCCCAGATAGCCACTAAAGGACAGGTAGATCTCCCACAGGCAAAGAATCTAGATGTGGCATTTGGGGCAGAGGGAACACCATGAGGACAGAGGAATTACAGTTATAAAATTTAGGGGGGCCTCCCTGGTGGCACAAGGGGTTAAGACGCAACCTATGAAGCTGTCCGCAGCCACTGCAGCACAAGTTTGATCCCTGACTGGCCAGGTTGCATCCTACATGGTGCAGCAGACCCCTCCTGACTCTCCTGCTGCTCCCCTCAGTAGTGTACTTCAGTCAGTCTGCCTGTTCTGTTCCCCACTCTGTCTCTGGTGAATCCTCTAACCCCCCATACCTCTGGCATGTACCCCAGTTCTTGTATGCATAAATAAATAAATCTTTAAAAAATAAAATTTAGGGGACTGTCTGGGAAAGATATATAGTTGAGTTAAACATGGGCCATGCTTATGTAGTAAAACAGTAGTGGAGGAGCATAACAAGGCATATTTTGGAAGAACTTGAATGTCAAGATCAGGGGCAGAAGAGGAGGTGGAGGCTCTGTTGATCTTCATCAATAGGAATGAGATTTTTAAAGTTACAGGTTAAGAGCAGACATATGCTTTAGACAGATAAATTAAGTAGCCTGAAAACGTTAGATTTGGATAGAAAGAGGAGGTTGGTGAGGGTCATTTTGAAATGATAAATTCTGTCAGGTGAAAAGAATTAAGGACCTTGTGGTGATGGCAGGAATGGGAATGAGAGTCATTCATTGATGGAATATTTGCAATCTGATTGGATGTAGGATGCAAGACAGTAAGGTGAGAAGAAAGGGAGATGAAACATGACAGTTCACTGAAACAATGGGGGTGACTTTTCTTCATTCAACAAATGTATTTTGAGAGCTTACTTTTCATCAGATACATTCAAGGAATATGAAAGAGAAGCTGGGAAGCCTAGGCAAAAGACTGTTTAGAAAGGGATGATGATGGATTCAGTTTGGAATATAAATTTAAGGTATGGACAGAACATTCAAAGAAGCAGTAAGGCAGGTAGCTTGAAACAGGGCTTTGGAAACCAGAGGAAAGATCAAAAATAATTACAGGGCCCTCCACTGCTAATTAGGGTCATGGGATGACTTATTGGGTTGTGGCTGAATGAGCCAAAATCCACCCAATTCAGGGTCTCAGGAAACAGATCATCATAGCAGCAAAAGTTACTTTGTAATAATTAAAAAAATTTAAAGTGATTATTCTAACACTTCTAACATATATGAAGTAAAGAGGGAAAGTTTCTTTCCTATTCCTTTCCCACTTGATTTAATTTTGCTTAAGGAGAAACTGAGTAAGCATTCCTTTTCATTTGTTTTGCTTTTCATAGGACTTTTGTGGGGCTTTATTTTTCTGGGGACAATGGGAAATATATTTATTGCAAGTAAACTTATGTTCTCCTAGCCTTCTGATCTGTAGAAAGAAGAAAAAGATGGCAAATCCTTGGAAGGGAGATCCAGGCTCTGGTCACTGTGGATAAGGCCAGTCAAATTTTATAATTTGCCAAACATTTTTAAATAAATAAACATATTTAATAATGTATTTTTAAGGCTGGCATAATTGCTCTTTTTTTTTTTTTTTGGTAATTCGAAAATTTTACATAAATCACTAGTCCAGCTGTAACCTTAAAGGTCACATGCATTATTTCTTGAGGGTGAAAATCCTAATCTTTTTATTTTGGAGCCTGGTATATCTTCCAGAGAGTTTAGGATGCAGAGATTGAGGAGGAAGAAGTTCCACAGAATGAGTCCGATCAGTCCTTCCATAAAAAGAAGGAAGAAGGCCTCTTCCAATAGTCAAATTCACTGAAATACATCCAATTTAGCTGACAGCTTCTGGCAAAGCCAGTCATTCAAAACAGAGCCTTAAACCTAGAAGTCGGGGGTCAGGGGAGGCTGCTGAGCTAGAAAGCAAAACTAAATTCAGTGCAGGAGGCTCTCATGCAGTCCATGCATTTCCTCCATGATCTAGGATTCTGCCAATTTAAATGAAATTAAGTATATATTGGTCTTTAAATTTGGCAGAGATCACTCTCTGTTAAATTGGGTTGTTGGAGATGTAGGGGAGAAAAGAGCATTACTGGCTTCCATGAAATAGATTCACTGCAAAAATGAAAACATGCAGTAAAATGAGAGTCAGAAAAATCTCCAACAAGCCCACCATTTACTTAATGGTAGGCAAGGGCTCCTATCTACTGCAGTGATCATTCATTCACTCATGACCGACTCATGGATTAATTACTCAGATGAAGTTATATTCAGTATATAAGAATAGGTAAGGATCCAATAGAGTATAGAAATCTTTTCATATAAAATGATAAAATACTGTTTAGAAGTTTTGCTACTAAAGATGTAAACATCAAATAGGTTGTAAAATTCATTTGTATGAAATTATTATGCATTGATGGCACTGTAAATTATAACACTATAAATGTAGTGCATGTTCCATCATCTTCAACCCTTTAAGATAATCAGCTCTTATAAAACCCAGGTGAAACAACTGGGCTGAAGCTCTTCTGTAAAGCATAATTAACTCCAGATTCCTTTCTTCCTCTTCCTTCTCTCCTGCCCTGAGCAGCATGACTGAAGGGCTGGGCCAATTGACAGATGGGGTGTCTGGCCTGGATGATTTCACCCAGACCCACGAGTACCACGTATGGCCTGGCTATGACTATGTGGGGTGGCGGAACGAGAGTGCCACCAATGGCTACATCGAGATCATGTTTGAATTTGACCGCATCAGGAACTTCACAACGATGAAGGTCAGTGGAGAAACTTCTTAAAGGAGTCCATAATTACCACGGAGAGAACAGGTGTGCTAGAAAGAACCCTGGTGGTGCCAGTGGAACTGATTCAAATCTGTAATCTGTAGCTTTGTAGTGACATGCATTTTGTAAGTCACACCTAGCCCCTGGGCTTCCTTTTTCTTTTGTCATAAGGGGTTACGGCTATTGGTTCTCAAATTTTCAGTTATTGGTTCTTAGGTTTTTGTTAATGCTCTTGTTCCAGCACTGAAGTTGACGTGTCCATCAGGAATCGAGGCGATGTTTTGGTCCAACTGTACTTTTAAGGCCATGAAAGTGTTTTTAGGTTCTTTTAATGTCAGAAAAAAACATCTTTTAGGGTTAAAACTAAATTTTCATCTTTTAAGCAACACAACTGTAAAATATATTTCTTATGGAGAGAGACGCCCACAAAGGTAAAAGTAACCAGGACCTAGGAATTCATGATATGACCTTCCACCACACTCTCCAGGGACAGGATATGCTACCACCAATCAGGGTTGCCCAGTGCCTCTCCCAGTCTCAGTGGAAGAGGAGAAGATTTTGCATTTTGAACCGCTTTCCATGCTGGAGTGTTTCTTTCACCTCCACAGCATGTAGAAATTGTGATTCCTTGAGTTCTTTGTTTCCATATCCAGTGTACCTGCCCATCTACTGTCGTTCATCTGTGGTTCTGTCAGTGGGCCTCATATTCCTCCGAGATAGTGACTCTGCTTCCTGATCTCTGTCCCTGGGTGGCACCTAATATGTTCTCGTTCAATGAATGTTTGTGAATGAACAAATAGTATACTTTATTGCCGGGACTCGTCACTTATAGTTATAAATATTTCTGCCACCTTGGGTAGAAGGACAGAGAGATGGGATAGGCAGGGATAGGATGGTGGCAAATGGTTTTTTCTCAGTATAAACAGAAACTTGAAGGAGAGACTGGGGCGATGCACTACGGATTGCTGTTAAGTGTGGCTGGACCCATATTAGGGTCCAGAAGCCTGAGGCCCAGGGTTTCAGTCTTTCTTCTCTGTGGGATCTCGCTGACTGTGCTCAGCTAGAGGAGGTGGTTGCCCAATGGTGAGTGGGAAGACTGGGTGGTAGCGCTGGTGGCAGGTGGGCAGACTGGTATAAGACCTAAATGTAAATTATTAGATTTGTGCATATTTGTGTGTATGTCTATGTTACCATCCCTCAAAGACCTGTGTTAAAATGTGAGTATTTTACCCAGGGGAGAGTAAAACATAATAATATTGGTGTCTTAAATACAATAACAGCAGCTATTTTATCAATTTGTTATCACAGAGCAGTTAGGAAAAAATTGATGAGCTCATGGAGTGGTGGGAGGAGCCAAAAGGCTTGGGCAAGGCAGGGCAGTGAGTGCAGGTGTTGAGAAAAGCTGAGGAGGGAGCTTCCCACCTGACTCCCACGATGTCTGAGCTGGACCCTCCCAGGGATCCAACCTTGGCTGTAAGTATTGAGGACTTCTGTTAATAAAATGCTTAGTTTCAGGTGCTTAGCACAATTGATTGTTGTCCTTTTCCCTGACTCAATCACAAATTCGTTTTGGAGAGAAAAAAATGGAAGGAAGTAAGGTCCATGCAAAAAGTGACCAGTTTATTTGCTGAACATGACTTCTAAGCCGGAGGAAGACAAGGACTCAAGGCAGAGAGGAAATTCCTTTTGTTGAATGTAAGAAAGCACCCTGGGAGCTTTTGTGGCTCACATATGAAGGTTTATGAAGGTTCAAGAGAGGGTCCCAGCATAAACCCAAGAAAGAGTGGGCAAATGTCTTTGACCTCAAACTAGGATCCTTGTTTATCTGTTATTTGTCCCCATTATTAGTTGGTTGCAGAATATTTAATGGCCAACAAATTGGTGACTGCGCCTCTATTAATCCTTAGTCCTCAGCTGCAGTATTTGTTTTTAAATTCATTCATTCTTATCTTTATCCTTGTTATTAATTTGGCAATAGTATTTGCCCTGTAGATGACACTATGGTAGATTTTGGGGGTAAACAGATGAATAGGAAATGGTCCCTTGGGCCAATGGGTAGCTGAGTGAGGAAAGCCCTTTTTATTTGCAAAGGATGAGAAGGAGAACCAAAAGAGGGAAACCTGTGTTATCACTAAGGGTTCCTAGTAAATCAATTTTTTTTTCTGTACACAGACAAGGAGTCCAAAAAATGCATGTCTGTGGTATTACTCCTGCTTGCTAATGGGATTATATCTGGATTGGACTATTAGTTAAATGAAAAGTCATTTAAGAGGAGAACAGATGAACCAACATTTGCACAATAAACCTGCTGGCTTATTGTCCAAGGATGGCTCTTGGGTAGTTGTAAAACAACTGTGTGTACTTACAGGGGAGGAGAAGGAGAATATGAATAGTAACAGAAGTATACTTCCAAAGAAAATTTATTTGTTGCTGAATTATGGGTATGTCCATGTGCACATATGAACTTGTACATCAATTCATTATAAGCCACTAGGAGAATTTCTGGTCCCACAAACAATAGAATATATTTTAAACTCCCAGTAAAGTTTTAAATTTTAGTTAATAGACTTTGATCTTCCTGAGTCCTCAGGAGTTCCTGCTTAGTTAATTTATCACAGGTCAAAATAATTTAAAAGTATATTCTGCAATAGAAGGTGCTAGAAACTTCTAAGGAGTTGACTCAGGGCCAGTTCTCCCAAGGCCAAACAGTACTCTAGCATATTTTATTTTTTCTGAGACAAAAAGGCAAAGATGAATTTTAGGTTGCTGATGTCTTACAGGGAGTAGTTTTTGCTAGTGAGACAAATTATTACCCATTTCCTCCCCTGAAGTATATTTAACAGATACCATTAAAATATACTAATGCACTTTAAAATTTATTGTATTTATTAAATAAATATATAAGTCCATAGAGTAATGAAATCCTATGCAATTTATTTGCATTCCAGGAGAATTCCCCAAACATCTGTAGCACAGATCATTACCTTCCCACAGGCTACTTAGCCAACACTTGGCAGATTTCAAAACATCTGAAAAACCTATTGAAGCTGTAGATGGTATTTCTTTGACTTTGTTTCTTAGCCTTTCTCCACTGACTTGTGTTCAATAAACTGGAACAGTTAATTCATCCCAAGGAAGGTATTAACACATGTTTTCATCATTAAAACATTTAGAGGAAAACACAAATGGAAAAGTTAAGGCGGTTTTCTTGCTCTATGTGGTATGTGCAGAGAGCACTGGACTGCGATTCTAGGGCTTGAGACTCAGTTCTGCTGTGGACTGACTGTGGGCCAGTTGGACATCCCTTAGCACCACCTTCTCATTAGTAGACAGAGTTGGATTGGATGCTTTTTAAAGTCTCCAGTAACTCTGAAGTTCTGTGAACATGGCTTGTGTCTTTATCATTAACTTGTTGCAATCATAGCTGCTACTGCTTTAGCTAAAAATAAATTCTGAGCGGTAGTTCTGTATTGATTATCCAGAAAGTGGAGGAGGGGAAAGACTAGTTCAAAGACTACAATTAGGACCTACGTAAGACATTGATGTGGAAACAGCAAATATATTCCTAGAATAATAATGATGCTCTTCTTACTGGTGACACCTTTAAGTTCAAGGATAGTGACAAGCAGAGCTCCATTCTCCAGGTAAGACTGAGTCTCAGGAAATGTCCTTGAGCTACCTTGGAGAACTTGACTTAGCTATGCATGTGCACATTCCATGTTCAGGGGATGTTCATCAGCAAGTCGCTACAGAGAAACTGTTGTGTAATGTTATTCCTATGGATGCCCAAAGCCACACAAATGTCCTGGTGAAAGTGTCACAGCAGCAGACAAGAGGATGCAAGCCCCCTATTAAATGACCTTCTTTTCTCATCTTAGAAAATACCTATGAGGTGGATGCAATGCCTTCATTAACATGGCTTGACCTAAGCTGAATTTAGTGAAGAGAGTTGTGCCTCTGTTTGCTGATGCGTGACACTTGAAAAGCTTCCTAAAGAAAAAGATTAAATGGTTTTGGATTGTGTATTATTTTAGGTTTCTCACCCACTATTGAAGGGAGTAGAGAGACTTTGGGTTGTATCAGGAGGAAGTAAGTTTTCCTCTTACCTGTATTCAAACTAATAAGATTCTGGAAAGATGGTAACCATGTCTGAGAGAAGTGTGGACTTGAGAGTGTAAGGGCAAGAGGAGGCTGGCCCAACCATCAGTGAGCAGATGAAGAAACTGCCCCCGCGAAGAAACATGAAATGGGGTGGCCAGTTGCTCACAGTTGCATAGAGGTAACATGGTTGCAGCCCAGACTATAAGACCAGACTATAAGGTCAGACTACCCTATCATTGCCACTGTGAAGTTCTGGAAGGGAAAATCAGATGGTGGAGTGACACTTCACCAAAGCTCAGAGGTTGGTGCCCAGAGAAGCAGGCAGGTCTAGAGTTTGGATTGACTTGCACTATGTCCCCATGCCACCCAGGAATGTTACCCATCTCTGCAATGTCTGTTTCTCTTACAGGTTCACTGCAACAACATGTTTGCAAAAGGGGTAAAGATCTTCAAGGAGGTGCAGTGCTACTTCCGCTCTGAAGCCAATGAGTGGGAATCTAATGCCGTGTCCTTCCCCCTTGTCCTGGATGACGTCAACCCCAGCGCTCGGTTTGTCACAGTACCCCTCCACCACCGCATGGCCAGTGCTATCAAGTGCCAGTACCACTTCGCTGACACCTGGATGATGTTCAGTGAGATCACCTTCCAATCAGGTTGGGAGCTCGGGGCTCCTAGGGAAGTGGGAACAGGATAGGGAAGGAAGAAATCCCCTGTGGTGTCTGGAGCTTCTCATTGGCAGCTGTCTGAGAGGAGGAGGGTTGTACAGGCAGCTTCTCAATGGTGGACAAAGGAATCTTCTGTGTGACTAGTTTTAATTGTGAAAGGTTAGGGATGAGAGTGTGGAAGTGGACAGAATATTTACTTGGTTCTCACTTGTCTAAAACAGATGTAAGATAAGGATTTTAAATTGAGAATACAATGTACCTTTAAAAATCTTATATAAATTGGAAGAAAAAGGTACACATGGAAGGACACTGGAAGGACAGGATACATGATTCATTTTCTCCCTTCATCAATTTTCAGAATAGTGAGTTGATGGCCAACCTTAAATGGTGTGTAATGATTCTTGTTTTATTTATCAACCCTGTTCTGTCTCTTATCTCATTATGTGTTTGTTGCTTTTTATAAATTCTATATGTTTATTTAATTGCAATTATTATTCTTTGTGATGCTCAAAATTGTCCTAGCTTTAACCACAGCACATAACTTCTTCTCTTTTTTTTTTTTAAGATTTATTTATTTATTTATTTATACAAGCACTGGGTACAGTCAGAAGCTTGGGAGGGTGAGAGAATTCACCCGAGCCAGAGCGGGGAGCAGAGCAGGCAGAAGGACCAAAGTACACTGCTGAGGGGAGCAGCGGGCGGCAGGAGAGGTCTGCTCGCCATGTGGGACCCTCCTCCAGTGGCCGGGGAGCAGCCGGGGATCGAACCAGCGGGGCAGAGGCTGCGGGCAGTTTTGCAACCCAGCACTCAACTGCTGCGCCACTGGGGAGGCCCCACAGCACATAACTTCTATTTGGCTCTGTGTTCTTTGGGTTTCCCATAAGCCTTCAATAAGTACACTGTTCTCTAAAAGACAAGATGCCCTAAACTCATTTCAAGAATTTACTGTCCCAGATGTGTAATCAGTCATTGCTTCAAGCAGTCTTGGTTCCTTTTAGTGGGGAATGATATTTAGAGACCAAAAATTGGGCAGTAGGGACTGTGCCAAGGCTTGGAAAGTTAAAAGGCATTTAGGATATTGTCTATACATCACAAAATCCCATAAAATGACTTTTCAAATGAGCTCGAAGTGGAACCAACAATAAATGGTTAGAAAGAGAGACTACAAATCTGTAGTGGAGAGTGTCTAAGGAGTGAGATTTGTACTAGGTCTAGAAGAAAAATATAGCCAACAAATAAAATAAGAGAGAAGAGATTACTGCAAAGATAATGCAAAGATATACATTTCCTGGTTTAATTGTTACTGGAAGAAAATTTCAAGATGGTTTATTAGTCAGATGTACTGATAAGGAAATAGGGCATATGTTTAGAAAAAGAGACTTAAGTCTCAGTGTTTTCCCTTTAAAGATTTAATCTGAGTAAATAGGATGATTAATTTTTGTTAAATATTAAGAGAAGAAATTGAGGTGCTTAAGAACAGTGTCATTTATAACATAAGTATTAACTGAGGGACAATTGATTCTTACCCATTGTTAAGGATTCTCTGCAGAGAAATAAGTACATTTGTCTTATTACAACTAATTATAGCTGTGGACTATAGTTTATGACTTCAGGGATCTCCGGGTCTTTAAATGCAATACTTTTCACCTGAGGATCCAATTCAGAAAAGTACAGGATAGCTGGCTATTTATACAATAGTGCTAAGAAGAAGAAAAATTAAGATTTTTGGAGGGAATGTCTCTTAGATGGGAAATGCGTATTCTAATTCTTGACCCATTTGGTTAGACAAATCAGGGAAAATTAGTTGCCAACATCAATCTAGCAAATATGCTTTCAGGTTCAAGTCTTAGCAGGTACAACATCATACTAAGTGACATTAATGCCAATAATCTACCTATAAGGATAACAGCTTCACTTATAAATTAAAGGACTACAGCAAGAAGGCACAGTGAAAACCTTTTTGTAACACAGTTCAATTATCTTTTTTTTTTAAGATTTATTTATTTATGCATACAAGAGCTGGGGTACAGGCCAGAGGTGTGGCGGAGCAGGATGGGGGGTGGTGAGAAGATTCACCAGAGAGAATGGGGAACAGAACAGGCGAATCAACAGAAATAGACTGCCGAGGAGAGCAGCAGGGAGCTGAGTCAGGAGAGGTCTGCTGTTCCATGTGGTTCACCTCCCTGGCTGGGAATTGAACTCCTCTGTTGCAGTGGCTGTGGATAGCTTCATAGTGCTATGTCTTAACCTCCTGCACCACCAAGGAGAACTCCAGTTCAATTATCTTGAAGGAAAGGGTATCTTAGCATTATTTCTGTCCCCTTCCCACTCACCTACTCTTTCCTTCTACATTTTGCTGAGTTTGGATCTCAAGTCCTCTGTCTGCTTTATGATAATGTGTGGTCATGGTCCTCTTCATCACAGTTTCTTAAACTATTTGTGCAATGGCATCTAGTATATCATTGAAACAAAAAGTTTACAAAAGTTTCCCTTACTTTATAGGTCAATGGTAATATTTTTTATTTAATATGTCATATGGTTTTATTTTTAAGAAAAGCTCATGGCAACCCACTAAATTGACTTCACACTGTGCTAGATTGCAATGTGCCTAGCTGTTTGCTCCATAATTCAGACTCATTCTTATTTTGTAACAGATGCTGCAATGTACAATAACTCTGGAGCTCTGCCCACCTCACCCGTGGCACCCACCACCTATGGTATGTGTGATTCCTAGTTATAAAAAATTAAGTTGAAGGGCCTCTTTGAGGATGAAGAAGGGAGATTTGCAAAGGCCTGAATATGTAGGTGGTTATATCCCAGGTAGTTCTGAATGAAGAATGTGTTGGAATGAGGGCAGTCCACTCCAGAATTCAGGGTCTAAACCTACTCTCTTCACTGCTATTTCATGTGATTCTTCAGGTGAGGAAGAGTCTGGAGTTGTTCCAATTCCTTCATGAAAATTTGGGAAACTTGGAGCAGAAACAGGGGACAGGGACATTTCTAGGTGAGACTTACAGCCATGATCTCAGTGGAGTGGTCCAAGTCATCTCAACAAAATACTAGTCTCTCTAACTGGAGATCATATGCAAAAACATCTCCATTGTTGCAAGCAGCCACTGGCCATAGGAACAAGCAATCTGGAAAATGTGCAATCAAGGGTCTCCAAAGAGGACTCTCAGCTACCTTGGCAAAGAACTAATTGTGAAAATGGTTCTTCACTTGTTTTTCATGAGGTGTAATTGGGGCCATAGATTTCAGTTATGGTGGTAAAGGGATACAATTTGGGAAAGAATGGAAATTCTCTCCATTATCCAATTTGCTATGGGTGGAGAAGGCCACTCTCCGTGAAGGATTACTGGAGGCTAAGGAAAAAAGTCATTCAAGTGTAGCAAGACAAGCATAGGAGCCATCACAGGGCCTTCTTGTGGAATGATCCTACAGGAACAGGCTCAGCCTCCCTATCTCTAGTCCAGTCCCTCTTGCTTTTTCTTGCTCTGTAAGATGGTAATGTTCTCATCTTCTCTTCCTGGTCACAGATCCAATGCTTAAAGTTGATGACAGCAATACCCGGATCTTGATTGGCTGCTTGGTGGCTATCATCTTCATCCTCCTGGCCATCATTGTCATCATCCTCTGGAGACAGTTCTGGCAGAAAATGCTGGAGAAGGTGAGGAAATGCAAATCAGTCATGGAACAGAAGCTGTATCTCTCTTTCCTAAGTTGCTGTTATCTCAGGAGGAAAAAGCAAATTATAAGAATTTATAAATGACTTGAGAGTTAACTGAGGCTATCAAGAAATAGAATTGGAGAAGCTTGTTGCTTAAAGGAATCATAAAAGAATAAACAAGTACATGTTTTCAGTTTGTAGAATGGAGATTTTTGGAACTTTCCTAGAAAATTCTTCCCAACATGTTCAATCTCAACTCACACTTCTCCTTGGAAGATTTTGAGTCACTATGTTTGGGGGAAGGCAGGAATCTCTATTTTTTTTAATATATAAAAATAATAAGTGCTGGTACACCACTGATATCTAGCTAAAATTTCTATATACTTGTATATTCTTTTATTGTTTTTTAGTTTGATTTTGGTTTTGTGGTACATGGAAAAATCCCTATTCTCATTACTATCCAGTCCAAGTTTTTCATAAGAGTATCCATAGTCTTTGGTGTACTTTAAAGTTATGAATATGAAACCTTCTGAGTCACCTCCTCAGTCAATTTTTGTGCAGACAAAATGATCTGAATAATTTATATTGCATTTTTCTAACACTCTACAAAAATATTTTTTACATGTATTATGAACCTTATTGAGTAATGGCAGGTGGTTCTCCTTAGCTATTTTCCTGATAAGAAAATGTAATGTACTCAAGGTCATACAACTGATATTATGCCTTCTGTGCTCTCTGAAACTGTCAATCTTGAAATATGTTGACTTCTTTTCTTACAAAATGCATACATTCCACCAAAGATGGAACACCTCTGATTTTCTTGGTTTTTCACGTCAGATACAAATACCCTGGACACTGATGCCAGGGGTCTGATGCTCTCAGGGTCTGCTGATAATTTTTTCTATCTTTGGCAAAAGATATTTTCCCTCATCAATAAAATAAAATAGAAATTGACTGTGAAGGGTCATAGAAGCTCTGGGCTGTGAGGCTTTGAACTGCCTGTTGAGGGCAGGTAATGGGAGCGAGGGTGCAGCCTGATTAATCCCTGTGTTTGAGGTAGGCTCACAGAGGAGACCAATGCCTATATGGAGTATATACCAGATGAGAGGAAAGGGCATCATGAGAATGGACTTGGATCTGAAGAGCTCTTTGGATGTAGCACAGGAGGGAAGGGACTCAAGTCAGAGAAGTAAGGGGTATGACCCAGAGAAGTAGCCTGCAATTCCTTCCTATCTATTCCATGTCCAGGATCCTAGGGCAGTGGAGGTCTATTTTAAGTTTCTTAGGTAAGAGTATTTCATAGAAGAGGGGATCTTTTTGCTTCCCACAAAACCTCTATCATCAGACTGAAAACACTGAACCTGAATTAAAGCTTTCAATCTGTAATGATTGAAACTGGAAAGGAGAGTCCAGGAAGAGTTCAGTCACTGGCATGATGAAGGAATATCACAACTTTTGTTCTTTGACAATGCAGGAACATACTGGATGTCTAAATCTCTGGGTGAGGAGTAGCAAAGAGTGGTGGTAGTAGAAGCTAGTGTGCCAAAGCTTGAAGGTGATATGTGTTTGTCCTTATTAAATATCAATAGTCATTATGACAGCATTTTTTTTAGGGGGAGTGGGAGCATTGTTTTACTCTACCCAATGAGCTGTTTTTCTCTTCAGTTGAGTCAAAATTTACCATATTTCTTTGGGTCTATCATCTTAGAAACATTGGAATATATTCATGGTTTGGAAGCAGATTATTAGATAGGAGGCTTCCCAGGTAAAAGGGAGAACAAAAAATTTGCCCTTAAATAATGTTGCTTTTCAGGAAATTTAGTCCTTCAAGAAATTCTTTCTATGGCCATATAGTATGAGTAAGATAATTCAAGATGCTCTGAAGTGACACAAGATTTCTTCCTGGGAACATGATTGTTTTTTAGAAAACCTTTAAGCATACTGGTGTCTTCCAAGAAACATTACACAATAGAGCTTTAGATTTTATCATTATTCATAGGATACTTTTAATGGTATCTTAAGCATTCTCTCTTTGAGCAAGTTAATGTTTATGTATTTGAATATCTGTTATGTTCTGGGCTCCATGGTCAATATTGGAAATATTATTGCAGCAAAGTAACTTTCGGTCTAGTTGATGAGATAGATGGCTAAGTTTCTCCATCCAGCATGCAAAGTGTGTTTTTTGGATTGAAACATTTTTGCATATTTAAAACAAATAGTCACATATATTCAGATCGTGGCATTTTCCTTTGCAAGGAGCAGGCAGGTGACAGGTAGGATGCAAAAGTGGTTAGTTTTTATTCCTCTTAATTATTTTTACATTGAGTGTAGCTCACTTCCATATCCCCAACACCATTCCTTTCCCATTTCATAGCCATTTTATCTTTGGTTAGTTAAAATGTGGGGTTGGGGAGTATTATTCTAATCTACACAGACAGAGTTATCAGGTGAATTACTTTTTATCATGTTCCATTGTGTTTGTTGTGTTAATGAACACTTTAATTTATGCTACACAAAATCAAAGCACTCAAAGATAAATCAACAAAATCCATTATTTAGTAAAACTTTGGAAACTAAATGATCAAAAAGATATTTGAGTGTCCGCTGATAATTTCTTGAAGTGTTGTGTAAATAATACTTCCAAGTGCTTTGATGAAAGCCAGAGAATGCTGGAGGCACAGAAATTAAGTCAAACTCTGCCTAGAAGAAATGAAGGATTATTCTAACCTTCTATTATGTAGGCATTTGTGGAACCAGATTGCTTCTCTGTCATTTGCAGGGCTTCTGGAGCTTAAAAGAGTAATTTTGTGAGTGTGGAAGACCTGGATTTAGGATGAAGAGGAGGTGATAATACCCTTTGTGTCAATAAGCCTTTCTCCCTATCATCCTCTTGTAGGCTTCCAGGAGAATGCTGGATGATGAAATGACAGTCAGCCTTTCCCTGCCAAGTGAGTCCAGCATGTTCAACAATAATCGCTCCTCATCACCAAGTGAGCAAGAGTCCAATTCTACATATGATCGCATCTTTCCCCTCCGCCCTGACTACCAAGAGCCATCGAGGTTGATACGAAAACTCCCTGAATTTGCTCCAGGAGAGGAAGAGTCAGGTGAGGATAAAAGAGTGGGTGTGAATTGAGGGAGAAGTAGTGACAAGCATAACAAAGATGTGGCATCATGGCTCCTCCCCAACCCTATCTTGTTTTAGTCTAGAAAAGTCTAAATGCTTTTTCTAGATTTGACCTCTGCTGCTGCTCCAGTCCTAATCTGAATTCCTCTCTTTGTTACTGCACATAGCAGATGTTTGTAGGGACACACTGTCAGAAGAGGAAGAAAATAAACAAATGGTATAACTACACGAACCTAAATAGTCCAAACTAGTCCATTCATTTTACATAGGAGGAAAGTGAGAAGGCTAGGTAATGTATTTGCTGATATCAAATATCGTTAGGGGTAAATTTGGGGCTAGAATTTCACCTGGAGAAAAAAAAATTAATATAGTTAAAGACATCATAGAATTCTCAGTGTTTTAACCACCTCGATAGTGTTTGTTGATTTCTCTCGTATGAGGACAAAAATGTATAATAACAAAACAAGAGTTTTTTCCAGAATATTATTTCTTGTCTTTTCTCCACAAAACATTGCATAACAGTGCCATTTGAATTTCCCCAGTGTTTCTTGAAAAGGGCTGTGTAGTGACATCAGAGGTGTGTTGGGTCATGACTGAACTCAGAACAGCTGTGCTATGAGGTCAGCAATGTAGAGTGGCCAAGTCAATAGAAGACCACTGGTCAGGAGAGGGTTGGCTGAGAACTCTGAGAACAGATTTTTCAAGAGAAATTTCCCAAGGAAGAGGAGAAACTGACATTATTTATCACTCATAGATAGCAAACACTGAAGGACCATATTGAACACAGGGAATTTTGCAGAAACAAGAATAAAAAATGTAAACTTATTTCCTAGCCTGAACTGACATAATTTACCCATTTCGTGAAGTCTAAAGCATCCCCCGCCCCCATATTTTAATGTTAGGGTCTGTTTATACTAGATCTTATCAATGCAATCAAAAAGTTTTTCAATCTCTAAAACAGGCTATTAAATCAGTGATAGTGTCTAAACTTAAGGAAATGGGCTGTTAAATCTTCAAACCTTAATATCCCTACCTTAATATAACATGAAACTTTCTAGAGCTTTGCACAGTTCCACAAAATTAGTCAAATGATCATGTGGTTTGAAGAAAAGAATAAGAGATGAATGACTGTATACATTCTGAAGGCCACAAGAGTCTCCAGAGAAACCATTTGCCAAGTAAGAGTGTTAGAGAGTAGATGAGGCTGTCTCAAGCAGATTCTAGTGCTCCTCTGAGATTTTCTGCCTTGAAGAGATCTCCAGAGATGCCCTTAGTATGAGCGTGTCTTGTTGCCCTTGTTTTCCCAGGCTGCAGTGGCATTGTGAAGCCGGTCCAGCCCAGCGGGCCTGAAGGGGTGCCCCATTATGCTGAGGCTGACATTGTGAACCTTCAGGGGGTGACAGGAGGCAACACCTACTCAGTGCCTGCTGTTACCATGGACCTCCTGTCAGGAAAAGATGTGGCTGTGGAAGAGTTCCCCAGGAAGCTCTTAACTTTCAAGGAGAAGCTGGGAGAAGGCCAGTTTGGGGAGGTGAGTTGATTCTTTGAATGGGACCTCCAGTGCTTGGTAGCTCAAAGGAAGTGACTGAATTAAAATGATCAGTAGAACAAAGTGTCCTGTCCAAGAGGGATTCACATCCGAACATCTCCTGCACTCATTCTACCCCTGAAAGCTAATATTGGGTCTTCTTCATCTTTGTTGTATAGCTATGAAGTTCCTGGCTCTTCAGATTTCTATGTAGGAATTTTTTTTAAACTATAACATTTTATTAAAGGACATTAAAAAAAAGCAAGTATATGTAAAGCCCTACTATCTCCTGCATGGGAAGATAACAATAGGATTTTCTTAGAATTAATGTATATGTATGGGATACGTATATGCACATATAGTAATTACATGTATATGTACACATGTCTTCATATAGGATAATAAATATAGCAGAATTGTAACAATATTTTTGAAAAGGGTAAAATGTATCCCAGATAGAACACCTACTCTAAAATCATTGTGATGGAAACAATGCAATAATAACACATAGCTGGAATAGTCAAAGAATTCATTAGGATGATTAACCATGGATCCAAGTTCACATGATAAATGTGCCATTTCTAATGGTAAGAAAAAAATAGTGAAATAAATAGTCATACCAAAAATTGTCTCCAAAAGGAAATGAAGTTAGATCTTTCTTTATGTAGGAATTTTTAAAGCAGACAAGTCATTAGCCTTGCAGATATCCTGAAAAGTATTCAATATTTTCAATTTTTTTTCAACTTTTGTTTAAAGATTTATTTATTTAAACAAGTACTGTGGTACAGGTAAGAGGCACGGGAGGGTGAGAGAATTCACCAGAGAGAGCGTGGTGCAGAACAGCCAGACTGACCAAAGACACTGCTGAGGGGAGCAGCGGGTGAGGCAGGAGAGGTCTGCCACGCCTATTTTCAATTTTATAATAGGTTCTAGAGGGTGGGGGCCCATATGATAGGATCATTTTTATAAACTGTCCAAGAACACCCTGATACTTGATAGCCACTTTGTTTTTTTTTTTTTGTTTTTTTTTTTTAGAGGGTGTTATATGTAAAATGGTCAAAACAACCTCACCCCTTCCTCTGGTCCCAGAATGAGCCACTAGGGAATGAATCTGCAACTAAGATTAAGGAGGAGAACTCTTTTCGGAGCATGTAATACTTGACTTTTCACTCTTACATCAGTCCCATGAAACTTCTGAAAACTCAAAGCAATGATTATATTGCAATAGGAGCTCTTCAACAATGCCACCTAAATTCCAAATATCATACTTGTTTTCAAAAGAATGTGTTATTGGTTTTCAGTGCGGGTGGCCTGCTTTATGGTGGGTTTGGTGCTGGTAGAGATAGTAGAGCGTGTGGCATCTGTTTGTGGTATAATATGTACTCACTTTGTTTTCTGGTTTAACAATGTAACTCATTAGACTGTACATAGAGGTTACTTATAATGCTTATCCCATACTAAGGTATTCCCATAAAGAGGAAAGTACCTTATGTTTAATGTGATCTGGTAACTAAACTTCCTTGAATCAAAGTTTGAGTAATTATACCAAATGATATTTTATAGTGGATTGTGCTACAAAAAAATACTGTAATGTATTCATTCATTCATGTATTTAGTATTCCAATCAATGTCTATTTATTTTTTAAAACAGTAACATATCCAAATAGCTGGGTACTTTATTACTGTTTTGATCAATTATTTGAGTCAAGGATATGTTACACATATAGTCTTTATCGGTCTTTTGATTATTTTGCCTGAGTTGTAAGAGTTAGTTTATCTCCAGGAAATGCCCAGCAAGAGTACTGAGACATCTTCAGGAGAATTGATGATGCTGAGACTAGATGACTTTTGTCTAGGTTCATCTCTGTGAAGTGGAGGGAATGGAAAAATTCAAAGACAAAGATTTTGCCCTAGATGTCAGTGCCAACCAGCCTGTCCTGGTGGCCGTGAAAATGCTCCGAGCAGATGCCAACAAGAATGCCAGGTCTGTGGTCTGAATTTTGAATTTACCTTTATGTATTTCATCTTCAGGATCAGGAAGACTTCTGGAAATTTCTGAGCAGTTTTTTTCTCTTGAGATGGGAAGGTCTGTGATCTGTCTTGTGTTTCTGTTATGCTTTATTTTCCATTTGGGTCAGCCTCCTCATCCTGTTCTCCATCTCTCTCAACACAGATGTACATTTCCCATTGTATTGGCCACATATTTACTCCCTAACCCCTTGCACAACACTGTACTTCCCAACATCCAGGAGAGTCTGAATATGTGCTCCTTTGATGTATGAGACACATATTCCTGAATGTCATTTTCTCCTCTTGCCAAATTTTTCACAATTATACACATCTTTCTTGCTAAATTTCCTCACTTCTCCTTTATTTCTGCATATCTGCTTACTTTCTCATTCCTTTTTTTCTCTTTTATGCTCCTTTTCTTCTATGTTCAGCAATCCCCCCTAAATGAGAAGCTACCTCTACTTGGGAAAGTATCCATGGACCTCAAAACCAAAGGATCCACAATCTTTTAGCAGTTTTCCAAACTGGCTAATAAGCTCTTGGATTTTTTACTACATAAATTGCAGCTTCCAGCCTTACTTCGTTGTCTGACAGCCTTTCCATTACAGTAATGGTGAGTTAATCCTCACCCAGAGAGGCGTGCTGGTTGAAAGCCGGTTGCATGTGTTATAGGGAAATCTGCACATCTGGGTAACACATGCATTTTCCCATTTGTGTTGGCTTGGTTTGCTCGCTGATATTCCAAGTGAGAGAAAGTTTATTCCTATTGCTGAAATTATCTTTAATTCTAAGAATGGTAACAGGGTTTCATTAAAAATCTTGTAATTGACAGGGTGTGAAATGAAGAAAGTGGGGAGCAGAATGGTGGTGGTCTGAGAATTTTAACTGTGAGAGTCTGAACCTTTGGGATATTAGTGTGAATGAAAACTGACATCTTCTGGGAGTCCTAGAGACATAGACAATGCCTCAATGGAACCTTGGCACACATTTGAGGAAGTGACTAGAAGAAAAACCCCAAGACAAAGTCTTTACCACTGTTGTCTTGGTGAGGTCTGGTGCTCTCACCTGTGCCCACTGCCAGGTTACAATGATGGGGGAACTGGACTTGACACTCCTGAGTCACAGAAACCCCTAGGTTAGGGGTGAAAAGGGGGAAGGTTGTGCATTAGTACTATGCTGACTTCAAGGGTTTGATGTTAACATATTGTAACTCCCAAGATTCCTAGAAAACTCACAGAACACTTATAACTGGCTCTGGCAGTCATGGGAATGTGGGCTAGTGGTCTTGCTAAGCCAAGTGTTGCCACAGGGAAGGTTATAGCACACTTTGTGACTCAGGGTGGTTGTTACCATGTATTCAAACAGCTGTTAGTCTTGGCCATGCTAAGACTTCTTTAGAAATGACCCCACTTACCACCATGATCTTTAAATAGCTCTGTTTCTAAACAGGCTACTAAATGTATGTTGTGAACAGACTGCTGGTACACCCTGTGTTAAGAAAAGTCACTGTGAGAAAATAAAGAATTAGTGGATAAATTAGAAGGGGATTATTCACTTTCTAAGAGGTTTCTTCACTGTAATAGTGAGACATGACTTCTTAAAAAGGTAAATAGTCCAGTGCACTTCAGACCCAATTTACAGTGAAAAGTTTTATTCTGCAGAGTAGCTTTTAGCAACATATATTTTATTCAGCAACTCTGAGTCACTTTTTCTGTGTTGGGTCCTTCATTGGATACTAAGGATGGAGATGTCACTAACTGATAGTATGTGTCCTCAGAAAGATTCCAGTTGAATAAGGGTGTGTCATGTACCAGGAGGAGTAGGCTATGACAGATCCAGGCTCCAGTTTCTCTGCCCTCTGCAAGGTTATACAAAGCGAAACCAGACTTGGAGTGGTGGGTTGGACTATGCTGTCTTCTTCCCTCTCTTGATTCTAACTCTGGCAACCTCTGGGTTTGTCTATGTCTGTGTCCTCCAAAGGAATGACTTCCTTAAGGAGATCAAGATCATGTCCCGGCTCAAGGACCCAAACATCATCCGCCTCTTGGCTGTGTGCATCACTGAGGATCCTCTGTGCATGATCACCGAGTACATGGAGAATGGAGACCTCAATCAGTTTCTTTCCCGCCATGAACCCCCCAGTTCTTCTTCTAGCAATGCACCCACTGTCAGGTAAGCACACAGGTCTTCCACCTATTCCTGGTGTCTATGAGACTAACCTGGGATCTGAAGATGGAGTTCATCCATGTTTGGGGATGGTGGGTTGAAGTCAGTGGACAGGGAATGATGGAGCATCTGCCCTATGGGGAAAGTATGGAGATTCATTAAGAATAGGGAAAGGGGTAGATATATTAGCATAAAGGGGTCAACTGTATGGTGATGAATGGAGACTAGAGTTCTAGTGATGAACATAAGCTAGCATAGCCAGATGTTGATTTTAAAGCTGTGCAGCTGACACCTAAATAATGTTATAAACCAATATTATTCCATTAAAAATATAAGAAGAGAGGGGCCTCCCTGGTGGCACAAAGGTTAAGTCTCAGTGATTTCAAGCTATCACCAGCCACTGTGTCATGAGTTCAGTCCCTGGCCAGGGAGCTGACCTACAGGGCACAGCAGACCTCTCCTGTCTCACCTACAGTTCCCCTCAGCAGTGTATTTCAGTAGATCCACCTGTTCTGCGCCCCAGTCTGTCTCCTCTCACACCCTCACACCTCTGGTCTACATCCCAGCTCTTGTATGCATAAATAAATAAAAACAAATCTTTAAAAAATATAAGAAGAATTGAGGAACTTTGAGGTTGAAATCCCAGTTTGTTGGTACCGACTTTAGATTGTGTCTTTCACAGCTTCCTCTGTCTATAGGCTGCTTTCTCTGTTTTTTAAATATTTCCTCAGTTATGTCAACCTGAAGTTCATGGCTACTCAGATTGCCTCTGGCATGAAGTACCTTTCCTCTCTGAATTTTGTCCACCGAGATCTGGCCACGCGAAACTGCTTAGTGGGCAAGAACTACACCATTAAGATAGCTGACTTTGGGATGAGCAGAAACCTGTACAGTGGAGACTACTACCGGATCCAGGGCCGGGCAGTGCTCCCCATCCGCTGGATGTCTTGGGAAAGCATCTTGCTGGTGAGTTCCCAGCATTTTTAAGTCCCATCCTAGCAAATGGCATGTGGGCAGCCATGCCTGGTAACTAGGGACAAACCTGAGACAGCTGGAAGCAAACTGAATTTTGCTATTGTATCTGACTCCAGATGGCTTTCTTCGCATACAAATTATTATTTTTAAACGCTTGCCTATCTCTGATGATAAAATATAACATGCCCACTATAGAAAATTTGAGGGAAAAGTTTAAAAGTACACCATAATGATAATGGATTTAGTGTCTTTTTTTTCCTCTCCATCTTTTCTACTTACTGATTGGTCTTAATTAGAATATTTAAAGATTATTAAAAAGATATTACCACACAAAACATTTTCTTGTATATTAATAATCATGTTAATAATTTATTATTTTGTATAGACTTAATTTCTTACAGATTTTTCTCTGTATTTTTGTCTTAATAATTATTACCACTTGCTTTTTATTTCAGTTCATCATTCCCCATCTTGTAATTTTTATTCAACTCTTGGTATTTTTGCTTTTTTCCCCCCAAATGCCTCCTAGATTTATAGAAATATTAATTCCTACAATGCTGTGCACAAGTGTTTTTGTCTTTTGTCATTTAATATTGCAGAGGAGAGTCCAAAAGCCACCTAGTTTTGTTCACTTATAGTTAATCTATTTATTTCTTGCTCACATTTGTACAGGATTCACAAATTAATTTTGGAAAAACGTAACGTTTTTCCAAACAAACATAAAATTATCCGTTTCCCCTCACCAAGTCAGCCACTATTAATTTTCGATATATTTCTTTTGAGGATTTTTTCTCTGTATCTATTTCTTTCTGTGTATATAACTATTTATAGACTGTATGTGTGTATTTTATATATTACATAATTGGGATGATGGTATGTATATGCAATTCTCTATTATTCACATTTCCTATGTCATTAAATATTTTTAAAAGCATAATTTTAATGACTGCATTACATTGTGTGAATATACTCTATAATTTAAAGTCCCTATAATTCAGTAGTTAAGCACTTAGAATTTTACTGCTATTATGAATGATGCTGTGAATATACACCAGTTCATGTAAATCCTTATACAGATTTTTAAATCATCTTCATAGGTGAATCATATATTTGCCTCACTTCTAATGTGACCCTTAAACATTGCACCCTTTAAGGTATTATATGGTACTTAGAAGATTAATAGACTGACACTCAGAGGTTCATAGTCTGAATCTTAGTTTTTTCATCACTGATACCTTAACTAGGGGACTCGAATGAACCTCTCGTCCCACTTTTGTGATCTCAAAAATAAGGAAAAATAATATCCTTTACTTCATGGCTTTGTTGTTTTTGTTGAATATTGAATTTGTTGAATATTGAAAAATGTGTGAATATCTAATGCTTGCTGACTGCATGTGAATTTCATTATTGTCTCTTGTTAAAGTTTATTTTTCAAGACCATGACTATCACAACACTGGAAAGTAAGAATTCTGGCTTCACTCCAGGCACTTAAACAAGATCCCTCTTTCTAATGTGAAAGCAACCGACCTTCCATGCTAATTTAGCCTTTTCATGGGCATAATCCCAAGGGTACCTTAGATCCTAAAGCCTGATCTTTCGATACTCAGTGGAAGAGTTGGATAGGACTCTCTCATTAGCCCTGCACCTCATCTCTAAGAGAACTAGACTGAAGCTGATCGTGAGGATGAGGGGATGGCCTGTAGCCTGGTGTCAAACAACTAAGATGGTAGCTTCTAGATCCTCCAGGTATACCTCACAGCTTTGGCATTTCTAGCACTAGGAAAGATATAAAATGACTCCAGGATGAAATGATAAATTGCTCTTGTTGTGCATAGGCTATTCTGATCACTCTTCATTTCCTTACTTAAACAGGGCAAATTCACTACAGCAAGTGATGTGTGGGCCTTTGGGGTAACTCTGTGGGAGACGTTCACCTTTTGCCAGGAGCAGCCCTACTCCCAGTTGTCAGATGAACAGGTCATCGAGAATACCGGAGAGTTCTTCCGAGACCAAGGGAGGCAGGTAAGAGCTGTTAGACATGGACTTGGATGCTCGTGAAGGACAGAGAAGGAAAGTTCTGATGTAGCAGTGTGGTTCTGCTAGACTTAAGTAGCTTGTGTGGGTCTGCTAAACTTGAGCGGCCTGTTCAGCCACCATTATTGTTACCTGCAGTTCTGCATTCCTATACAAAGGTCAGAACTGTCTGGTGACAGTTATATGAGCCAAACATTATAAGGTGCCTTTCATAACAATCAAGAGCAGAAGGCTTGATCACTCTTGGAAGGGTATGCATCAAGAGGTATGACCGGGAATGCCCGGGGGGTTGAGGATGGATGCATAAACTTACCCCCGACTCATACATCATGAGGTATGACTGGGAACACCCAGGGGGCCGAGGACCAATGTATGACAAGGGACCCCAGAAGCTGATCAGTGGAATGCCTTGTTGATAAGATTAGGACCATGGCCGGGGGTCTAGGGTCTAGTTTCGATTACAACACTTGGTCATCAAGCTGATAACATGGTCAGCAGACTCGTGTCCCCCAAGCCCTAGATGACATTCCTGAGTTTCACCATCCTTTTTTCCTTGTCCTCCTAACGCATGTAGCTGATGCTGTATGATTATTCTATCAATAAAAACAGCCAGGATCTTGCTCTCAGCAGCATCCTGCCTTGTGCAGCCTGCTCCATGACTCCCGTGTCTTTGTCAGTGTGGTGTTGCCCAACACAACATAGCAGAATAGGTCAGAGCTGGAAGATGGGCTACCAGGGTGAGAGTCTCCTGGTGATGTGAAAGACCAAGGTCCTTTCCAGAAGTCAATGTACAAACATGTCAACCAATGATCACTGGAAGGAAAAGGGATCATATCAGGCCCCTCCCCAGTTCAAAGAAGCCAGGAAAAAAAACTCACTCTCATGTTCAATCTGTTCCTTGATCTAGACTCTGTGGTTTGTCTTCCTGGTTGAAAATGATAAGAACAAGGCTATAAGATTAAAGGTGAATAAGTGTTTATTGGTTTTTGTTAAAACATGAGTTAGCAGTGTTGCTAAATGTCTGGAGAGGACTGGGCATATCCTGGACTGGCCGCCTTGGAAGGCCCCTCAGTGCCAACTGCTGTGGCCTCCCCGGACTCAGGAAAATTTGGGTTTCCAGCCTGACAAGCATTCCAATTCCCAGACAAGATATTCCTGGATTTCTTTGGGTGGCTCAGTTTTTAAGTTTCTATGAGATGTAGGATTTACAACTAGGTGGTGATGGCACCACCACATGGCCCAAGAGTGTCCTGACCACAGCACACCCTGGGAGAGCAGCATCACAAGCAGCAAAATGGTAACAATTGGGGAGAGGGAGGAGACTCTTGTAGAAAATAAAAGATGGCTCCTCTGTGGCTTAAATAGATCCATAAAAGCAGAAAATAAGGAAATGGCAAGAAATAATGCAATGTGTAGGTTGGAAATTAGGGGTGGGGGGGAGCGCCCTGGAATTTAATTTTATCTTGATATTCTGAAGTTATTTTGGTCACAAGGAGAACTGCATTGTCTATCTGTGATATGAAGAAATTACTTTCTTACTATGAGTAAAAGAAAATTTGCTCCTCTATGTCTGAGGTGAGTGGACCAAGAAAAAAGTTTTTTTCTTCTGGATGGCCACACTGCTGACCTATTGGAAGTCTGTGGGCAGCTGAAAGTGATGTTTTCAGTGTAAAAGTAATATTATTCATGACAACAATGGTTCTAAATGAACTGTGCCTGGAATTATAGGTAATGGGGCAACAGTTGTAAACTATTTATTCTCCTTTGACTTAATATTCCATGACTGAAATCCTCCAGGACAAAAGAGTTTACATATGGCAAAATTGGACCAAACATTCAGCAAAAGAAAGATACGTCCTATCAACTCCCTATCTGCTTCACATTAAAAATATTCTTGATATTATACAAATTAAACTTAGGACTAAAATGTTCCACATTGATTATTCAAATAATATTTCATTTGATTTCACAAGAAAACTTTTTTATCATTTTTTAAAATATGAATAATATTTTTTTTATGTAGAGGAACTGGGATGTAGGCCAAAGATGAGGGGGCAAAAGGATTCACCAGAGACAAAGTGGGGAGCAGAACAGGTGGATTTACTGAAATACACAGCTGAGAGAAGCAGCAGGTAAGACAGGAGAGGTCTGTTGAGCCATGTGGGTCAACTCCCTGACTGGGGAACCAGGCCATAGAGATGATCGCACTGAGACTTAATCCTTAGGCCACCAGGGAGGCCCAGTTTTTTATCATTTAATGTAAGTTCTAACTAATACTCTCCAGGATTTTATTTTTCTTACTTGTTTTTAAATACTCAGGTGAAATGATGCCACCATTTTTACCTTCACTAAATACTAGTGGTGAGCCAAATATATTGTAACTAACTACCAAGTCAAATATTTGACTGAAACCAAGGTCAAAACCAAATATTACCTTTATATGTGGTGTGAACTTACCACTTACTAGCATAAGTTGAAGATTTAAAAAAATTAAAATTAAATTTACACACATGAATTTAAGGGAACTCATTACATATTCATTTAACTTCAAACTTTACAAAATTTAATTACTTAAAATTTAGTATTCAGATTTTCAAGTTTGAATATAAATGCTCAGTGCTCTCAGCTGCTAGGTAGATTCTAGACCCACCAGATTACACTTGTGTCATTTCGCTGATTTTTGGTGTTTTTTTTTTTTAATTTTTTTAAAAAACTTATTCATGTATACAAGAACCAGGGTACAGGCCAGATGTGCTGGAGGGTGAAAGGATTCACCAGAGACAGAGCAGGGAACAGAACAGGCAGGCTGACTGAAATACACTGCTGAGGGGAGCAGCGGGCGTGGCAGGAGAGGTCTGCCGCACCATGGCTGATTTTTGAATGATGCAGTTAGTCGTACCAAATTACTGAGCATAGCAACAAAATGTAAAGAAGACTTTTCAGCAGTGAATTCAAGAAAGAATTTTATACTTAGGGCTTCATAGCTTAACAAATCTTAAATCGTATTCAAATGAAAATGCTTTGAAAGTCTCTAGTAGTAATTCCAATAATCAGAACATGTGTTTAGCATTTTTCATTCAATTTATCTTTACAAAACATGAGGAGTTCTCAGCAATTTTTTGAGAGTCGATGGTTTAAATAGAATAAAATAACTAAAAATTAAATGAAATTTAAATTTTATTTTGTTTAAAATTATCATAGGTAATAAAATTCTACAAGTATAATAAGGATTTTTATGAATTACAACTTTAATTACTTGCCAAGTTTATATGATTCTAAAAAGGGAAACCCTAATAACTAAAATTATTTATTATTTCAAATTTATTGAATTCTGTTGACTCAAAACAGATAATGTTTTTTCTAAATTTATCTAGCAAACACCCCAGAAAAGTCTTAACAGCTTGAAGTTTCACCATAGCATGAGAATGCCTGTTATCCTGTGTCTTTATTTATAAAAAAAATTTCCTTTTAAATGCTTAGTACTTTCAGCTGTAGTCATTTTAACATACTGAGTTAAGACCTGTTAGATCTCTTCCTGATAGTCTAATAGAAGTCAAAGTCATTTGCACTTTTACTTGGTAACTAAGGGTTGTTTGGTGGAGGGAAGAAGCAGGCTGCTTAGGGAAAGCACATATCCTAAGATACATGATAGAGGCTGGTGTTGGGAGAAGGCAGGGCAGGGGGAAGTGGTGAAGGATTGATCAGTCGCAGACGCTGGACTCAGGTTCAGGGAACTTGGGACATTGAAGTGTAAATACATCCAGATGTTTAAATACATAGCTAAGGTGATGACAGAACAGACAAGCAGATGATCTGGGAGTCACTCGAGTGGCACCTTGTTCCTGGAAGAGATCAGTTATTGGGTGATTGGGCGCTAGAGTGGAATGCAGCTCAGGTTGGAAATCAGGGTAGGGCTGCAGGAAAGGTAAATGTACAGATGTTGGTGAATGAAGCAAAAATTCACTTGACTCCAGCATGGGGAAGGGGACACAGAGCACATGATGGCTAGGGGCTAACGGGTGCACCCTGCATTCAAGTTTCTGCAGCTGGCTAATGCCCTTCCAGTCAAAGAGCTGAGGCTACTGATAAATTTTCTGACCCAGCCACAGTGATTCATTCAAGATGAACCTCCACATGCGGTGCCATAAATGGTGAATCTGGTATTCTAACCACCTGCTCTCCAGTGTGAGATTTCTTTTCGCTTCAATTTCATCTTTTGCATGATGGTGGGAATCAGAAAATCCTGCTCCAGAGAACTAGACTAGACACTGGAAAAGGGATAGATATGATTTAGAATTCTTGTGAGTAGGAAGAATAGACTGCACACCTATTACACTTACCAAGTTCAAGCAAGTAGGGAAGGGGAAATCAAAGTACAAAGAAGATACTCTTCCTTTTCCTCCACTCTTCTTAATATTCCCCTTTTTTTGTTCATTTTTGTTTCCAAAGACTTACCTCCCCCAGCCTGCCATTTGCCCTGACTCTGTGTATAAGCTGATGCTCAGTTGCTGGAGAAGAGACACCAAGCATCGTCCCTCGTTCCAGGAAATCCACCTTCTGCTCCTTCAACAAGGGGACGAGTGATGCCGTTGATGCCTGCGACATTCTGGTGGCCCAGGCCTCTCACAGCACCTACCACTCACCCACACCGAAGCCACTCCAGCTGGACATTCATGGACCTGAGAGGCAGAGGCTTGTCGCTTTCTCTCTCTCTGTCCCTCCTCTCCCTCCACCCCTCCACTCTCTACCCCCAGCCAATATATACTCTTGTTTTTTACATTAAATAACTAAAAAAGAAAAAAAAACCTAGGGCAGATGAAATCTAGTAAAGAAATTTTATGTGATATACCGAAGTGTTGGATAACGAAGGCTAGCAAATTGAGATAATTTATAAAGGTTGTGCTTGTGTTTAGAATGTGCACATTCTACCATATTTTTCCATGTCACCTTTTAAAAAATATTTCAGAAGGGAAAAACTTGAAGAATACTAATATCCTAGGAAACAAGATTATGTTTAGGTAAAACACTTGGTAAGTGCAGAGAAAGTGATAAACAGTAGTATGAATCACATGTGGCTTAGCTTTCTAATTTGACCTTTGGGCACGTGGTACACTCTATATTTCCTTCTCTTGTCAATGGAGATGATTTGTGTTTGAAAAATCCCAGTTTCTTCGAATGGGTGTTAGTTCATTCATGGGCTGGGGTCAGGGGTAGGGTTCATCTGCATGGCGAACACGAAAAATGGGGATAGGAAAGAATGTCTACTTTAAGGCCATATGAAGGGAATTGCCATTCACAAATAAAAGTAGCTCAGGCACAGAAGGATTCTTGAATAGAGAATGGGCATAGGGAAAGTGATCAGGGAGGACAGGCAAACGTGTTATTTGTGATTTCTGCAGAAGGAGCTCCTTGTTACCCTGTTTGGGTGTGTATTTTAGTGAAAACCTAGCCAAAGTAACATTTTCGGATGTGTGTTTGATAAGAACCTGATGGTTGAAACAGTAAAGTGTAGGGTTTCGATATCTTGATCTGAATTGCCTATGGGACCTGTGGGCTAGGGGTTGAATTTCTCAGGCATGACTATCTGAAGGCCATATACAATAAGGAATAGAGCTGTTCTGGTGTTCCTCAAGGGTTGACCAGTGAAGGGAAGTGAAGGGGAGACTGATTTCCACACCTTATTAAGGAAAGCATAGCTACAGGCAGAACATACAAAGAAAATGGGCTACCTCCAGAGGCAGGAAGTCCCTTTCAGTGGCCTCTTCAGAGAGTCAGATATAGACTGAAGAACTAAGCAAAAAGGACATGGGCTGTCAAACACAAGCTATATGGCTACACAGGATATTGAATGTTCTTCTAACCCTGGTCTGTGGTTCCAGAGAGGTGCAGGCAAGCATAATAGAGAAGGACACACCCTTGTCCCAGAGATGTGTGACCAAGAGAAGAGAAAGATGAAGCTCTGCTTTCAGAATTCATGGAAACTGTGGGGAAGAGTTCCCACAGAGTGGATTCTGAGCTTTACACTCTGCAAATCCTCAGATTCTCTTTCTAAGGAGAAACAGAAAGAAAAAAAAAATTACAGAGTAAGTTTCCTAAACTGATAAAAAAGAGTGTTGTGTTGAGCTTCTGTTGCCTTCACCTAGTCCACCTCCACACAGTCTCTCAGGAGCTTGAGCATTACTCCCATCATCCTTCAGCATCTCCACACGGCTGAAGCACAGATCCCAAGCCCCAGGTTTCATTTTGTAGGTCATCTTCTTCCCTAGCCAAGGCCCTCTCCCATAGCCGTCCTGTTACTCTCCCTCTCCCAGGACTGACTTTGGAGAAATCTTTGGTTTGGGAGTCAAGAAAGCATTGATCTGGGATCTTCAATCCTGTTTCTGCCTCAAGCCAAATGTGCCATCTTGTAGAAATGACTTAGCCTCTCTGGACTTTTGTTTCCTTATCTGTTAATTGTGGAAACTGATTAGCTAGCCTTGAAGCCTCTTCCAGTTTTAAATGTTCCCTGTTCTTTGGATAAATGGATCTGTGATTAATGGGGATTCAGTTACCTGATCATCTGCTCTAAAAATTGTAGTCAGCAAAATGAGATCATGCAGGCAGATAGCTATACTAGTGTAATAGGAAGGCCTGCTACTTGTACAGTGCTTTAACATTTACCAAGTGTTTACACATACGTTATCTTATTCGATATGTGCTAGACTAGACGTGTTCTCTTATACCTTGGGACCCTAAGCCAAGACAATTTTATTAACAAGAGAACTACTAGCAACAGCTTACCCACTACACTCTGCTTTCTACATCAGTGCCAGCTTCATGTATTATTCAGAGTTTTCCAGAGAAACAGAACCAATAGTGTGTGTGTGTATGTGTGTGTATGTGTATTCCTAGATATAGCTATAATCCATAGACATATATGATTTAATATAAGTATATAAGGAATGACTCACATGATTGTGGAGTCCTAGAAGTCCCATAATCTGCCGTCTGCAAGCTGGAGACCCAGGAAAGCTGTGGGGGTCTAGTTCTGAAAACAGGAGGGTGCGTGATATAAGTTCCAAGTCAGGTCTAAGAAGACTGGACTCCTGTTCAAGCAGTTATACAGAAAGACCTAATTCCCTCCTCCTCTTTTTCTTCCATTGAGACCCTCAACATATTTGGTGATATCATCCACAATGTGGGGGCAATCTGCTTGACTCAGTCCACCACTTCAAATCTTAATCTCATCTGGAAATACCTTCACAGACACACCCAGAAACTATGTTTATTCTGGGAATTGAATGTCCCAGTCAAGTGAACACATAACCTTAATCATCACGCTTCACTACAATGAAACTGGTCCCCGCGGCCTATTCTCCTTCATCTATATACCTCTTGTTGGGCTACATCCATGATTAATAGGACAAGAGAAAATAAAATCCATTTCCCCTCCCTTTGCCTTATTTCTTTTTACAATTCTGCCTCAATGCACTGCATTTCATGATCCCATATATATAAAAAATCATATTTAAAATGATCTGAGTGGTCTGGATTTTTCCAGGCCTTGCATCATGGAAGTAATCTGTTTCAGGCGGCTGTCAAGTATGTATTATCTCATACTGTGACCCTTTTCTGGGTCTTCTGGCACTGAGATATATGCATTACAGACACAGCTTAGCTGCTAGCCTAGTCAGATGCGTAGTTTAACATCAAAAATTGAATAGACCCAGCAGTGTACCTGGCAAAGGTTTAGTATGCAGAATTTAAAAGTTGCTAAAGACTAAATTGGAAGAACGAACGTAGCACTTATTTAGAAATGGAGATAGGAAAAGAATTAGAAACCATGGGCCCTTGTTACTTTTGTAGTAAGTTATTTTTTCACTATATATGTGAAAAATTTTATGTCCAGATTGTGTTTCTAGGTGGTTAGGTCTAAATTTATTTCAGTCCGCTTGGCACTGATAGCCAGGTCTGAGTATGGATGGGCTGCTCCCCAGATACTTCCTGCTCCCCAGGAAAGATCTGGGGTGAAAAGAGGCCCTGAGGGGGCATGTGGTTTTACTGCTGTGAAAGGTCACTTGCAAGTGCATAAGACTTTGTAACAAAGAGCATTGTATGGAGTAGAGTGAGAGAAGAAGAAATGAATGTGCAGGTGATTGAACGAGAGGTGGGGGGTCTGGAAAGGAGGCTACATAAAAAGAGGATGATTGTGAATGGACAGTGTGCACAGGAAGGACACCGACAGGGTCAAGGCTGGTGAGGTCCACAGGAAGAGCTGCTGAGGGTCCTTTCCAAAAGGTGATCACAAAATCTCTGAAGAAAGATCTGAGAAACGGTGGGGAAAGTGTGTTGAAGATAAAAGATACACAGATAAAGTGAAAAGACATTCTGGATAATAGAGATGATGAAAATACTCATTAAAAATGAAAGTTCAGGTGCAGGGTATGAAAGGGAAGGGGACTTTTCAAAGTTTTTAGAAAGGGAAAGTGTCATGAGTATAAAAACACATCAGCAGCCAGCAGGGAATGAACTTTTTGTTTCTGAGGCATTAGGAGAAGGAGGCAATTTGAATATCGTGACTTCTGAACACTCAAGTAAGAGGCATTTGTGGTGGGAAGAAAGCACATTTGCTTGAACTAGACTTGGTTTTCTGAGTGCTGCTTTGGAAATGAAAACCAAAAGATGAAGAATTTATGGTAGTTCACACATCTCTATGTTCCCTTTTCTTGGTTCTGTTAACAAAATTCATTTCAAATAACGTCCTTCATTGCTAAGCCCAGAAAGGTTACAGGGGAACAGTGAAACAACAGGCTTAAGCTAGACAAGACTAAATCTCATTTGGTGTCTGCACAAAGAAGTACAAGCCATGTTGAAGCCATGTGTCCTTCTAGTCTCATCCAGGCTTCCCACAAGAAAGCCATGATGTGGAGGGAAGCCATGTGTTTTGAGTAAAGCCAAACTGAGAAGGGGGCGGGGAGGTCGTGTCTGAAAAAGGGAAAGAGATGAAGATACTCCAAGGAAACATCCTAAAACAGAACAGCATCTGTTTTTCCCAAAACTACAAAAAAGGAGAAGAAAATTAGTTAAGTTTTAAAATACTCCCAATACATGGCTAGTAAATCTTTGTCCCTAAATTGTAGACCTGGAACTTGCCATGTTTTCAGTGAGACCTCTGACATATGACTGTGCTAGTCTCTAAGTGTTGCTGGAAATTGCACATTCAGATCTTTATTGGGAAATCCTTTTGTATGGAAATAGAACATTTTTATAGAAACAGATAAATGTGTTTTCCACTTGGCAAATATCTTGGAATGCTGAATTGATAGAAAGAGAATGGGTAACTGGTGATTCGATTTCTGGCATTTGGAATTGTCTGCTACAATTAGCATCATTGCTTGGTGATAGACACAAGGGGGTCATTCTTCAGTTGCTGTATCCTTTTTCTAACTTGTTATTTTGAAATAATTTAAGATTCACAAGAAGTTGCAACATTAATACAGAATAACTTTACAGCATCCCCAGACTTCCCTCACTGCTAGAGTAATCATAGCCCATTTTCAAAACCAGAAAATGAACATCACTGCAATAAGATTAACGAAACCAAAGATCTTACTTAGATTTCACAAGTTTTAATGGTTACTCATTTTGTTTCTGAATTCTCTGAGCCTGATTTGTAATCTGGTCTTGCTTGGATACAAACAAAAAGACACTCTCTGAATACTACTTTGCCAGATTCTAAAGAAAACAACAAATTAATATGTTCCTTTATTAATTAGCAATATCCTGGGCAGGTTGTATTTGCATTTTCTGACTAATTTGGTTTTGTAGAATCTAGAAGAATCCAAGAATAACCAAAAAGGAGTAAGCAACACAAAAGACAGACAATAAGAACTGTCATAGCTTGTTGGCTAGAAGGTTGGACAGAGAAAGACGTTCTAGATGCTTCTTGCAGTTTCTGTGAGTAAAGGTTGTAGAGTAGTAGAGAAGTTTAATTTGTAAGTGCCTATCCTTAAATAGCGTAACAACCAGATTGGACCAAATTTAATGCAAACACAGCAGCAAATGGGGTGGGGGGAGATGAAACTCCATTTTTGTGAATTACAGCTTTGAGATTTGGGGTGGCATTTTTAAGCTGGCCTTTTTACAGGTCACATGTCAGAACTGTGTTCTCCCTATAAACCCCAGGTCTCTTGCAGCTCCTCTCACAGAGTAAAAATGCAATAAACATTTGCTGTATGTTGTTTGAGTGAATAAGAGCTAGAAAGAGGAAGCTTGTCATTCAGGGGTGGCAAGGCAATTCCTGGGGTGGATTTAGGGAGAATAGCTTTGCTTATAATGTAGAGGCTGTATTTTCAAATGAGAAAAGAGAAAAAAAGTACCAAAATGTTTATGCAGTGAAGTACTTCCTCTGTTTATGTGTTTTCTGATTGTGACATCAACTATGGAAATACCTGATTCTTTGAGGTATATAGACAGCAATACCAGGAAGAACAGGAATCAGATTCTGACCACAAATCCAGTCCATTTGAACCTGGACCATTTGGACATTTACGTTTCTCCTGCAGACCACTGTCAACAACTTTACAGGCCTCTGAAGAAGAAGGATAGCCTGCCTAGCCACACACTCACAATTGCATATAAAGGAAAAATATGCAAAGAGACTTGAGGAAAAGCACATTCACTCCCTTTGAGTGAAAAATTGTATTCTTTGAAAGAGGCTTGGAGATTATTGAGTTTGGAGGACTCCTCTAAACACATCAAGAGTTTGTAATCTAGCCTATGAATTTATGTCCTTTACTAGTCACAATATCCTATTGTTCTACCCTATTGTTTGGTAGCTTTTTGTGAGGATTGAGTTTCAGAAGCAATGTGCACACTCTTCCTATGAAGGGGAAACAGTGGGGCCTTGCTCTGTAGGCCTTGGAGGGTGATGTGTCTTGTCAAGGGGTAAATAGCAAACTGATTTAATTTCTGCTTAAACCTATCATAGCATTCCAAAATAGAATACATAACAGTTCTCTGTATTAGAAAAAGAAACGAGTACCAATTGTATATTTTCTTTTCTTTATTTATTCTCTGTAAGTCTGTCAGATGATAATTGTAAATAACAATGATTAAAGAAATATGCTACTGATGGCTCTTTCTTTCTGTGGAAGTAGCACCAGTTCTGAGCATTGTTGCTCTTACTCCTTATACCTTTACATCCTTTTTGGAGAAAGAGATGGGGCTTGGGGACAGGGCAGAAGGTATGTGGTGTGGACCTTATGTACTCAGGACATCCAACAGAGGATTATTTGCACACATCTTTTACACCTTCATTGAGTGTTTATTGGAAGAAAAGCATCGTGGACTCTGGTATATCCAAACATACTGAAGCTTGGGATTTTGTATTCACGTTAGTCCAATTCTGCATGATGTAGCCCCAAATTAATTGGGACCCTTTATTGCTGTTATTGCAAAGTTGTCTTGATATACAGAAATCCCTTCTAAATCCAAATATGGTTTGCTTAACACTGCACATCCATACAAAAATCAAAAGCAAAAACAAAAAAACTATAAGCAAGCAGACTATGAATAAGAACATTCAAACTTCATAATAAAGTTTAGGATAAAACCACGATGACAATATATTTCTTACCTGGCCTCTGGAGAATAAATTCATACTTTTAATATTCTGAATAACATGAACATAGTTTTTTTTTTAATTTAATTTTTAAACCATAACCTTTTTTTAAAACACTTTATTTTTTAATTTATTTTTTAAAGATTTTACTCATGATACAAGAACTGGGGTACAGGACAGATGCGCGGGAGGGTGAATCCAGATTCTGGTGAATCCAGAAACAGAGCGGGAACAGAACAGAAAGACTGACGAAATACCCTGCTGAGGGGAGCAGTGGGTGAGACAGGAGAGGTCTGTCGCGCCATGTAGGACCCTCGCCGGTGGCCGGGGATCGAACCGGCGCTGCAGAGGCTGTGGGCAGCTTCGCAGCCCAGTGCTCATCCGCTGCGCCACCAGGGGAGGCCCCATAGTTTTTTTTTCTAAACGATGGCCATGAGAGATACGGGAATTGACATACACTCTCAATGAATAACCAGAGGATTCATGGATGAATCCCCCAAACTCCACTTGCTTAGTTTGATTCTGGGACAAAAGGCCAGAGATTCGAGTATTTGTGTTAGAAGTGGGTCTGGGGACAAAGCAGGAATAAAAGAACAGCAGAGATGTTTAAAGAGCTATAATTCTATTGTCAACACCTATTGCCAAGATTTAAAGGTAGGTACAGGTGACTACATGTGTCCATATGTGATATGACATAGATATGTTATGCATGTATATGAATACATAATTTTTGACTGAAGAAAGACTGTTCTTATATTTTAACTGACAATTTGGATGATTGTATTTTGTTGTATGATGAGGACTTGCATACAATTTATCTCCATTTATAACTTTAAATTTGAAAAAGAAGTGTGCATACTTATAATATCCTCAGGTCTTATTTCTTATAGAACAATAACCTTTTTTCTTTAAAGATTTATTTATTTATGCATACAAGAGCTGGGGTATAGGCCACAGATGCTGGGCAGGGGTGGGGGGGGGTGAGAGGATTCACCAGAGACAGAGTGGGGAACAGAACAGGCAGAGTGACTGAAATACACTGCTGAGGGGAGCAGTCTGCTTTGCCATGTAGGTTGCTCCCTGGCCAGCTAGGCATTGAACTCATGCTGCAGAGGCTGCGGATTGCTTCATAGTATGGTGCTTAACCCCTTGCATCACCAGGGAGGCCCTAGAACAATAACTTCTTCAGCAGAAGTGACATATGACCTCTTACTATCTAGTGAGAGTAATTTCCCATTCTCAACTTGTTTTGGGTCAGATTGCCTGTTTAATGAGTTGAGAGAAGATGGAAGAAGGGTACCTACAAGAAAAGCTACACAGGCCCATTAGCAACTGCTTTTGTGTCCTGGTTTGCAAAGCAGAAATAAGTTAGTTCTGGATTGGTTTACATGGACCCAGAATGCAGCTCTGTTATGGCGGGGGTGGAGGGTGGGTAGCTACAGATACTTTTATTCAGCTATGTCCACCTTAGGGCTGTTCCAGGCACCATAAAAGAAAGCAGAGATTGGTTTCAGGGTTTAAAGTAGAGGTAAATATATGAGGTAGCAAACAGTCAATTGTAGAGCTGATGATTTTAGTATCTTGATTAAGGAGCCAAGGTTTATCAGAGAGAAACGTTCTTCTAGTATCCAGGAAAATAGCTCATGAACAACACAAACTTGATAGGACTAACTTGGGATGATAAAAGTCATACTTGCCTATTAATCAATGTATGTATGACTGTTACAGAGCTGTGTCCTACATGTTTTTTTTTAAATACAAAATTGTATTTAAAATACAAAATATTTTTTAAAATACAAAATTGACCACTGTTGTCATCAACAGAGCTCTAATCTCCTGATCTCTCTGGCTCCTCTAATAGTTCAACCCATCTTTGAAAGTCACAGAAGCTTGAAAGCAGCAACTTTAATTGAAAGAAAGAAGCTGAAATGAAGATTTCCTCACTTGGCTGAGACATCATGGTAGAAGGCCAGATAGACGGCTGCTCTTGTTCTGAAGGTTTCCTCTTTCACTTAACTCCCAGCCAATCCTATGCTGACTTTCACCAAAGAGTGAGGTGACACCAAATACTTCAGTCTTCTTCTTTCTTCGTAATAAGTTTTCATAAGATCAAACCACACAACTCCGTGTCCCCTCTCTTACTTATTCCTTTTACACATCACTTCTGAACTTTTAGACTTTTTTAAAGATGTATTTATTTATGCATACAGAGGTGTGGTTGGGGGGGGGGGTGAGAAGATTCACCAGAGACAGAGTGGAGAGCAGAACAGGCAGATCCACTGAAAAACACTGCTAAGGTGAGCAGTGGGCAAGTCAGGAGAGGTCTGCTTCGCCATGTGGGGTGCTACCTGACTGGTTGGGGATCGAACTTGCGCTGCAGAGGCTGCGGATTGCTTCATAGTGTGGTGCTTAACCCCTTGGGCCACCAGGGAGGCTCTGAACTTTCAGACATTTTAAAAGGATTCTCTGGATCTAGCCTCTAAAGAAGGGAATTAACTTTAGGAATTTCAGAAAATATTGCTAAATTGCGGTCACTTTAAAATGGTTAAAAGTGGAATAATAGGGGGACTGAGTTCCAGTCAAATAATAATAAACACTTTTTGATTATTTATGAAACTGATGTTCAGATTACTCTTTAAATCTAATCGTATTGGTATAAGATAAATGATCACTAAACTAGCTGATATAAAAGTAAACAAAACCTCTAGGATATTCAAAACCCAATATAAATGAAGGCAGTCTCTTATCATTCAAGGTTCGTTGATGTTCATAAATGATTACAACCTTGAAAGGGGCCACAGCTATGTTAAAGTATGTTCAGTACAACTTGATACACCGTGTGCAGCCTTGGACCTGGACAGGTGAGTAAAGAAATCCGGCAGAAGCATTAGAGACTTCCATAGGAGTTTGGCAGAATACTCTTATGAGTGTTGAATATGATAAAAAAAAAGAAAATGGTGTTTGTTTCTTGTATGCCATTTGCTTTTTATTTCATTTTTTTTCTAGCAACTCATCTTTATTGTCCTTTCCAAAAGCACACATCTGGCATGGCTTAGAAAAACAAAATCAGTCTTTCTCAAGAGTTTGAGAATCACCAAAGTAGAAGGTTGTAGCACTCAAACTGTTAGGGGGGAAAGGATGTCCTAAAGCAAATTCCATACAGACTTTGTGGACTCCACCCCCACTCCAGACCAAAACCAAAAGACACTGGGAACTCCAAATCCCATCACCACCAAAGGGAAGGTTGCTGGGACTTGAGGGTGGGGTTTAGCAGCCAGGCTTGGTATAAAGCCAGACACGTGGGCTTTGGAGGGGTCCCCCATTTTGGCTCTCTGCCAGCTCGCAGCCTTAGGCCAGCTCTGAGAGTGCCTTTGGGTTTCCAGGTCGGCGGATCAGGTAGTGCATTAAAGACTTTATTTCCCTATTTTCTCCCTGAGTTGTACATTTCCTTAATTCCCTTTCCCTTGTAAATAAACCTTTTATTAACCTTTTGTGTGTGCCTGTAGTGGAGTATTAATAAGTCCCTTTTAAGCGCGCTGGTGAGGACCCACAGCCAGGCAACCCGTTTTATATCGGGGTTGCCCCATAACAAAACCATACTCTCCTAATTAGTTCTTTTCCTCAGATTATTTTTTAGCGTAGTCGGGGGATCAGGGACCAGAAGTTGGGTTGCAAAGTGGCACAGTATCTGGATCTGCACATCCAAAAAGGAGTGGAAAACGAATGACAACGGGTCAAACTTTAACTCCTAGACTCAAACCTGCCCCGCAAAGTAAGGCGATCTGGTGCCCGAGTCCTGAGACCTGCCTGCAAAGAAGCCAGGCTCTGAGGCGGCAGGACACAGACCGGGTGCGCACCTAGACCCGGACACCCGCGCTGGTCGGGAGGGCACCACCAGCACCGCGGCGACAGCCGGTTCCGGGGTGGGCGGGACACCTGCGCCGCGGAGGGGCGGGGCTAGTCCGGATTGGCTCGGCTCTCTGCGTCACGCAGCCCCACCCCTCGGCCTATCTCACCTCACACGCTAGACTCCAACACGGCGGGCGGAAGGCGCAAGCGATTGGAGGGCCGAGCGCGGGTCGATGACGCAAGGGGGGCGGGGCCTCGAGGGCCCCTTGGCGGGCGGGCTGGGCCGGGCGGGTTCTGGATAAGAGGCTACTTAGCTCTGAGCCTCCCGAGCTGCGCTGGACCTGCCACGGTGCTCCTCGCCGGCGTCATGACTGTGCGGAAGGTGGTTCTGGTCACTGGGGCTACCAGGTAGGGCCTCCTCCGCGGTCGTGACGGCGGGGTCCGAGGCCTCAGGAAGACCGGGGCTGGGCCGTCCTGTCTCGCGTGCCCACAGGGACCCGGGGGGACTCCGGCCGGGACCCCGCCGCTGTCCTCCACGCCCCTGCTGCGCGAGGACGGGGTGCCGGGCCCCTGGGTCTCAGTAGCTGGTGTTGGAAATAAACACGAGAGTTTAATTCAGAAACGCATGAGCGCCAGTAAGATACAAGTGTCTCTTTGAGGGCAGAAAACGAGCACTTTCCTTGCGGATAGCGCTCCTCCTCACCTTTGACCCCCTCGCCTTTGACCTCTTCACTTTTAACTCAGGGCACCTGACAGTTCTGTCCTGCCCCTGTGGCCACTGTGTTCCAGGTATTTTATCTCTGCGGGTCTTTTATCCTGAGACAATTTCAATCTCCATGAGCTTTAGGACGGCGCTCTAGTACAGTGCTAAATACATTTTTTTTTAAATGATTTTTTTTTAAAGATTTATTTATTTATTTATACAAGCACTAGGTACAGTCAGAAGCGCGGGAGGGTGAGAGAATTCACCAGAGCCAGAGCGGGGAGCAGAACAGGCAGAAGGACAAAATACACTGCTGAGGGGAGCAGCGGGAGGCAGGAGAGGTCTGCGTGCCATGCGGGACCCTCGCCCAGCGGCCCGGGATCGAACCAGCGCTGCAGAGGCTGAGGGCAGCTTCGCAGCTCTCAACCGCTGCGCCACCGGGGAGGCCCCACTAAATACATTCTTGAGAAACACCGGGAAAAGCAGCTTTCTCCTCTTGGTTATTGAGAGGAGCATAAATAACTATCACTGCCAATTGTCAGTATTGCAGGGTTGCTTCTCTGGACTTTTCCCTCTTTTGGCCCTTTTACTTCTCACTTTCTCTTCCATGAAGAATGTGTGCAGAAGAAACTAACCAAAAAGCATTTTCTACCTGTTGCATTTGAAGTTTTTGAGAGCTTAAATGAGAAGTTATGTTAAACGTCTATCAAAAATAAGTCAGGGCCTCCCTGGTGGCTCAGCGGGTTGAGCACAGCGCTGGGAAGCTGGCCTCAGCCTCTGCAGCACCTGTTCGATTACCAGCCGGCCAGGGAGAGCCCACATGGCGCAGCAGACCTCTCCTGATTGGCCCGCTGCTCCTCTCAGCAGTGTATTTCGGTCCTTCTGTCTGTTCTGCTCCCTGCTCTGTCTCTGATGAATCCTCTCACCCTCCTGCCCCTCTGGCCTATATCCTAGTGCTTGTATAAATAAATAAATCAATAAAAATAAGTCAACCTTCACTTATCTAGCTGTGTTTACATTACTTAAGCCAGTTTGGTAGTTGTCTGTGATTGGCAGTTTTCTAGTGTGTCCTGTTTTCAATGACTTTAAAATTCTCTGGTGCTTCCAAGTTGAAGTTGCTTAAATAAGTCAGGATTGATTTTGTGTGTTTCTATTACATATATTTTGATACACATAAATATATTCCAATCTCTTTTGGAAACCCCAACAGACACCTGGTGGTCCCAGGCTTTTTTTGGGGGGGTGGGGTGGGTACTGTCCCTTTGTCTGGAACCAGTTCAAGAGCTAAGTATGGAAGAGAACTTATTTGCTTAGCTTTTCATTTTGATTGACCTGCCGTCTGACTGCTGTCCACAGCACTGTGTAATGTCAATGTTCTTTTTGAAATACTGGTTTTGTTGTAGATAGGTTCTTGCAAACTGTGATGAGGTAGATAGAAACCAGGTCCTCAAATAATATCTTTTGACTTTTCTGTCAAAGTCTGATGGGATTCTTTTTTTGGTCATCATTGTTATAACAAAATGATGTTGAACAAAACGGCTATATTTGAGCACCTGCTTTAGGTTGTCTCTGCACCTTGTGCTCACTCCCTATTTTCTTGGTCGCCATCTTATATTTCCTCTTCCTTTCATTCTCTTAATCATGCTGAGTTTTTTTCTTCCTGTTGGTTATTTGATCATAGTAGTTGAGAGCGACTTGTACCTCCTGCCATGTTACTGATGCCTCTTCTTGAAAGATTCATGCATCCCTTATCAGGAATTTCTGATGCTCTTGACAGTGGCAGTGACACCCATGTCCTTGAGAAACCTAGACAGCAAAGTAAAATATGCCCATAAGAAACAGCCAACAAAATACACTTTTCTACATTTCCTGGTGATGCAGTGAATCATTTTCATGAGGAACATAATAACAAAGTGAAAATGACTAGCAGGATAAACTCTACTTGTAAAGAACTACTAATGGACAACTTTGTTATTATGTCCCTCATGAAAATGATTCAGTGCATCACCAGGAAATGTTGAAAAGTGCATTTTGTTGGCTGTTTCTTGTGTGTGTATTTTACTTTGCTGTCTTATTTTGCAGTGCAGCTATTGTGTCATTGAGCTTTTGCAGAATGAGAGAAACATAAACTAGACAATGTCTTTAACAAGTGATATTACAGTGGTGATGGGAGTCCCCCTTTTTAAATGTTTTTTGAGCTTTTTTCTGTCTTCACAGGCTCCTGATTGGAGTGCAAGGTAATAGGACTGGCTTTCTGAACCAGAGAGAAATGCTGCTTTTTGATGCCATCTCAGTTAATCATATTCTGTGTCTGGATTGTCCTTAGTGGTGTTGGCCTCGCTCTCTGCCAGCGGCTCCTGGAGGAAAATGATGAACTTCACCTGTGCTTGGCATGCAGGAACATGAGCAAAGCAGAGGCTGTCCAAGCTTCCCTGCTGGCCTCTTACCCCAATGCCGAGGTCTCTATTGTGCAGGTGGATGTTGGCACCATGCACTCAGTGTTCCGGGCCGCCAAGGAACTTAAGCAAAGGTATGCTTCTAGTTGACAGGGCTCTTCTCATGTAACTGCACAACACAGTTGGTTAATAGTTATGAAAGGATAGGAAAATCTGAAAAGAAACGGGCAGGATCTGTATAGAGTCACCCATTTGATCTCAGTATTGCTAAATAGGTAAGGCAGGTACTGACATTGAACAAATGACGAAATGAGTAATGGGCCAAAAAAGGTTATAAGACTGTATATTGGTGATTTAGTCTAGAACTCTGGTCTCCTCCTTGTCTTCTCAGGGATTTCCCTCCACCCTTCGCCCCCTCTAAGGCCAGTGAAGCTTCATTCGCATCTGCACATAGACCTGTTAATAAGCATTTGGTAACTAATGTGTGCAGAATAGAGTTAATGGAAGTAGGGTAACTTCCTAGAAAGTGTGCATGAAGATGCATATAGGTGCACAGTATACATTTCTGGGGACAGAGGGCACTTTCCTTTTTTTTTAATTCTAAGAGGAATTTATGATCCAGGAAGGTGAAATTCCCTGCTGTAGTCCATGCTGAGTCTCAGGATATTGGCATAATTACTTTTCAAATATTTTTGAAATCGAGGAATTTAGAAAATGAGCTATTTTATTTCCTTGGACAGTAAAAGGCAACGGAGTAGAAACAAGAAAAGCCTCATTGGTGAAGAATAATACTTTGCTATTATAGTTGCTATCAATGAATTATTGATGTACATAAATAAAATTTCTCAGTGTTCTATTTTTTTAAAAAAAGAAAATAGAGAAAGTAGCAATATTCTGATGTGTTATATCTTTAGTTTGCTGTGCCATCTTTTTGGTCCAGAAAGTATATTCTGTGCTTATAGATCTTCTTTATTCTAGTTATCATAGAGAAAACTGATGATCTTGTTTTGTTTTTCACTTGCAGGTTTCAGAGATTAGACTATGTATATCTAAATGCAGGGGTCATGCCCAAACCACAGCTCAATGTCAAAGCACTTTTCTCTAGCCTCTTTTCAAGGTAATTTCCACTTTCTAAATAAACTAATTAGAAGGAAGGTGTTTATTTTTCTGCCTCATTTTGCCCTTGGTTCATTAAGTTGGGGGGATGTGGGTATTGAAAAAATTGAAAACCAGGAGGAAGTGTTGCAGCCATGTCGTGAAAGAAAAACATTCAACTTTTGTGGGAATGGCTGCAAGGCTATAGTGTCAGGTCTGCGGGATGTTTCAAATGGTTGGGTGTTCCAGAAGGTCAATTTTTGGTCTGCCTAAATATGTCCATCAAACTAGACAGAGTTGTCAGTGAGACCCTTTACCCAGGAAGACTAATGTGGAAGATTTCCCAACTATAGTCAGGTATCCTGACCAGTATGCTAGGAAAACACACAGGACTAAAGAACTTCCTGGAGAGTCTCAACATGCATTGGTACGGTGGCTTCCAAAAATGTTCAACCACAACCTACAACAAAAAATAAATCTTATTTTGGGATTCAGTATACTTATTCTAAAATATTCTTACTCGTGCTGTATACTACTTACAACAATGCTGCATTTGATTTGCTTCTCTTAAAATACAATTGGTCTTGAGCTACAAAATTGATTTCAGAACAGAACACTGTATTAGAGTGTTTGATGCTCCAAGAATGCCCACTTTGTTCAGCTATTAGACATCACATTGTGCAGGGTATGACCTTTTCACCTTGGCATAGCTGTTTTTGCTTCAGAGCAGCTCACCTGTAATATGCTTTAGATGAAGCAGTCCTGGTGTGAAGACTTTTAGCAGCAGGTTTCTGAGATATCTTGTTCGTGTTGATAGTGTGAACTCAAGTGTGTAAGACTTCTGTGAATTGAGGATATGGAAGCATTTTGTACCTTATTTAATACTCAGATAACCCACACTAAGAAATAGGATTTTTATTCCTGTTATAGAATCAAGGCTGCAGGGAACACCTCTTTAGCATCTTCAGTCCAGAAAGCTTTTAATTGCACAGTTTCTTCTGCCATTTCAGAAAAGTGATTCACGTGTTCTCCACAGCGGAAGGACTGCTAACCCAGTGTGAAAACGTCACTGCAGATGGTCTCCAAGAGACGTTTGAAACCAATGTCTTCGGCCATTTTATCCTGGTAAAAAGATTGCTTATAATAAGTCAACACTGGGATCCTAAAGGCTTACATGAATATATCACAGGGCTGTTTTGCTAAGCTCTCTAGTTTATCACTCTGCTTTTTGAAAACATTCCTTCCCTAAAGTAGCCTATCACTTGATTATTTTTTCTTTTGACATCAACTCTGGAGAGGCAGAAGGGAACAAATAAGTATCATCAGAAACATGTAGAACCCAGAAAGAGGTGCCTGACTGGCCTATTATATTCTGACTTTGAAACTGCACAGGATAACAGATAGGAGAGGGTATTAGGCAAGCCATTATTGAACAGCATGTCTCAGTCAATCATTTATTATCTTGATTTCTGATTTCTTACTTAGCCATGCTTGTGTGTTACAATCCCAGAAACACATAGGAAGTTAACCAAGATGTATGTAACATGTCTACATTGTTCTGTGCTCTTGCTCAGGTTTAATTTCATTGGACAACTTGAATATCCAGATTAGGTAATGTCAGCTGTGTTGCCAGTTGCTTGGAATTCCTTGGTGCTGAAAGAATGCCTTGTGATGCTGGGTTTGTCCACATGAAACCTGTTATCTCTTACACTTTAGTATTACAATCACTTTTCTTTACCATAAGTATAACTTCCCTCAAGATTGCATCTCCTTGAGGATTAGCCTATATTTACAGTAAATTAAGATATATGAAAACACTGAAATGTTATCAGACCATTTAAAGATACAAATATTTTGCCTTGGGCCTCCCTAGTGCCTCAGCGGATTGAACACAGCTCTGTGAAGCTGTCTGCAGCCTCTGCAGTGCTGGTTCGATTCCCAGTCAGCCAGGGAGATTCCCACATGGCTAGGCAAACCTCTCCTGTCTCGCCCACTGCTCCCCTCAGCAGTGTACTTCGGTCCTTTTGCCTGTTCTGCTCCCTGTTCTGGCTCTGGTGAATTCTCTCACCCTCCCACGCCTCTGGCCTGTACCCCAGTGCTTGTATAAATAAATAATCTTTAAAAATAAATAAATAAATATTTTACCTGTATGTGCTATAGCCTCTGGCATTTTATTATGAAAAAGAAATAACAGGATGCAATGTATACTGTGTAATCTCATTTATATAAACTAAAAAAGATATTTTCTATATAATATGTAATATTTACATGTATAAACACATTTTATATAATGATATGTGTATACATAATATTTTTAGAATGATACAAATAAAACTGACAACACTGGTTACCCTTGATGAACTGGGGCTTCAGAGTATGAGATATAAAGTGGGAGATTTATGTCTCATTCTCTCTCCAGTAGCACTGTTTTTTAAATGATCTGTGATATTTCTCACTGATAAAAATTAATGAAAATATAAAGTCAGGATGGGATTGAATTCTTATCTACCCATTTTTTTAATAACTTTTCAAAGATCCATTGTCTTAATATTTCCTTGTTCTTTTTAGAATTCTCTTTCCCTTTTTTTTGAATTGTTAATAATAGAGGATAAGTTAATGACCACCATTATTTGTTTGTGAATTTATGGAGGAATGTAGTATTTAAAAGTTAAGTTGTTAAGAAAATCAATGCATGGGTAACCTGGGTTGGAGAGCTGGCTGAGGGGAGTTGTGGCAGGAAGCACCATCAGCACAACTGCCCTGTGGAGTAACCTGTCTTTCTGTGCCCTCACTTACGTATGCATAACAGCAAGGGGTTGAGAATCTATCCATCAGATAAAATAACAGGAAGACTTATAATGCCTTCTACTCTCTTCCAATAAGGTTTAATGATCTTATTTTTTTTATGGAATAATACAAACTTGGGTCCTAGGTTCAGGGGTTTATGCATTATATAAATGGATCCACCCCCATTTATATGTGAAATGATATAGCTTTTCGGGTTGATATAAAAATAGAGATAATTTCTGTCAAGTTCCAGGCACAGTGAGGAAAATTTAGTTGACTTAATCTCATGTTATGAGTTAGTCTGATTTGACTTATTCATTGCAAGGCATGGTGCATATGTAGAAGGTTTCCTCTCAGATTTTCCTTTTAGAACCTTTTGTTTTAGAATACTTTTAGATTTGGAGAATTGTTGCAAAAATAGTACAGAGAGTTCTTGTATACCCTACCTAGTTTTCCCTATTATTAACATCCTACAATAATATGATTCATGTTACATCTAGTGAACCAGTATGGACACATCATTATTAACTCAAGTCCACAATTTATATCTAATGTCCTTTTTAAGTTCTGGGATCCCATCAGGCTACCACATTACATTTAGTAATTAAGTCTCCTTAAGCCCCCTTGATGATGACAACTTTCAGACTTTTATATGCTTTTGAATGACCTTGACAATTTAGAGGATTACAGCTCAGGTATTTTGTAGACTGTCTCTTCACTGGATTTGTCTGATGTTTTTCTCATGGTTAGACTAGGGTACTCTGTTTTGGGAAGGAACACCATAGAGGTAAAGTGCTCTTCTCATCATTTTAGATCACTGTCAAAATGACTCATTACTGTTGATGGTAACTTTGATTACCTCAGTTGAGCTAACATTTGTCTGGTATTTCCATTATAAAGTTACTTTTTTTTCTTCTCCTTTTATTTGCTCTCTTTGGGAAAGAGTTACTGTATGGGTAGTCCATATATAATGGCTTCTCTGGTGGATTTGCTACATAAAATTTTTTTGCAAGGGAAATTGGTCTATTCTGTTTCTTTTTTTATTCAATCATTTATTGATCAGTTATATGCCAGTAAAGCTGAAAAATTATATTCATATGGATCCATGGATATGTTTTTTCTACTTTGAGTTATAAATATCACTTTATTTTATTTGCTCAGATTATTTCAGTTTTGGCATTGGAGCTCTCTCAATTGAATCCTATATGTCTACAACAAACCCTCATCATTAGGGTTTTCCATTTTTGTTTTTGTTTTGAGCCCTCCAAAACTCTAGCACTGCAAATGCTTCAGATTCTTCTTATATATCTCCTGACCCAAAACTAGACTAAGCCATTTCTCTAAGGAGCTCTAGTTTCTTTTATTGGAGAATGGTGTTAGAAATTGAGACCTGGGCATTCATTGCTGTTGAGATATCAGTTACTTCTAGGTCCTTGCAACTAATAGAGCAAGGAAATATATGTTCAGACTAACCCATGTATCTATCAGTATTTTTATGTGTGGCCATATGTATCTTTGTTATGTTCAAATGAGTTCACACTGGTATCTCTAGCTTTAATTCACTACCTCGTGGTTTTCTCTATACTATCCCCTTTTGACAATAAAACCTGTTAAATTCTAGTATATATATATATATATATATATATATATATATTTGTTTCATGATTGTTATCCTGTATTCTCACAGTGAATATTGATATATTGTGTATTGCTTTTTTTTTCTCATGCAGGTTCAGGAACTAGAAACCCTCCTCTGTCACAGTGACAGCCCATCTCGGGTCATTTGGACATCATCTCGCAGTGCAAGCAAGTCCAATTTTAGCCTTGAGGACTTCCAGCACAGCAAAGGCCAGGAGCCCTACAGCTCTTCCAAATATGCTATTGATCTTCTGAGTTTGGCTTTGAACAGAAACTTCAACCAACGGGTGAGGCCTTTCTCAGTGATAGGGAAACAGCAGGGCTTCAGCACTGTGGTCGACTTCCTAGTAACATGGCCGGCGTTCTATTAACTACAATAGTTTAGAAGCTGCAATATAATGTCTTGAGCAGGATTGCTCTAAGGATACATAAGACAGGAATAAGATTGTTAGTTAATATTATAAAGGTGTTTGGGCAGAGACATTGGTGCCTGACCTTTTATGTATATTTGGCTCAGTCACCATTGTGGCGTTTTTCAAGAGTGATAATTTATGTGACAGAACTAACTGCCAGTAGCAGCTGTACTTACTTGCTATGTTTCAGCTCTGTCCTCCTGTCTATGAATGTCATTTAGTACCTTTCTGCCACAGGCGGTAGGTCTAAGTACTCCCTTTTTCATATGAAGACACCAAAGTTTGGAGAGCTTGTGTTAGTGATGACGAGGTCACATAACTAGAAAATGATGGAGCACAAAGTTGGGTCTGACTGTAACTTGTATTTTGCCCCTTAACTGTGTGCTCCCCAGGGTTGACCTTGTCAGATGTCATAGGACAGTTAGAAACCTTCTAAAGAGTGGTGATCTTTGGTGAGACCCCAGAGCTCTGTCTCTGTGAGGCTTTGAGTTTGGATAGTATTCACTGAAGATGGCAACCCTTGTCACTCCCTGTGACTTAGTGGTCTGGAGCTTCATTGCTTCTTGGGGAAGAATTTTTGATCTATAGTGATGATGACTTTGGGCCCTTACTTGTTTCATAGGATTATTGGTAAATTAAGCGTCTCTTAGGAATTAGATGATCTGTGTTGGGTACCACACTGGATACAGGAAGAAAGCATCAGTAGACAGGTTGTGGTCTGTCTACTGAACTGTCTGTATTAGACTCGCACTTCCTATTTTGTTTAAAAAATTGTGATTAAAGGCAATAAAAAATGAGTTAAAATTGTTAATATTGGGGCCTCCCTAGTGATGCAGGGGGTTAAGACGCAACCTGTGAAGCTGTTCACAGCCTCTGCAGCATGAGTTTGATCTCTGGCCAGCCAGGGAACAACCCACCTGGCACAACAGACCTCTCCTGACTCACCCGCTGCTCCCCTCAGCAGTGTACTTCGGTCAATCCCCCTGTTCTGTTCCCTACTCTGTCTCTGATGAATCCTCTCACCCCCCATACCTCTGGCCTATACCCCAGTTCTTGTATGCATAAATAAATAAATCTTTAAAAAAATGTTAATATCGAAAGAACATGATATATAGTGAAAACTAAATAAAATAGCAGAGTAAGTGCTCCAAGATGACACAGACCCTTTCTGTTGACTTAAACTCAGTGTCAGTTTGGGCTCTCTCTTTACATGACAGATCTTTCTAAAATGACAAGTCCTAGACTAGACCTGATTTAGAGATCTGCAGCTGGAGGAGTTCTCTATGGAACCCCATGCAGTCCTACCTCCTTACCCAATGACAGGAGTCCCACTTCAAGCTAGATGTGGGTCTCGTGTATATGCAGGGAAACAGACCATGTCAGGTATTTACTAGATCTGAAACTTATTTAAGGCAAAGACTGCACTTGTATGTCTTTTTATCTTAAATGTTTATTATGGTTGATCAGCTTACCTTCAGTTTAGCCAAGAACATGGAAAACTCAGGTAACAAGGCCCTACTATTCTTCTCCAGTTCGTTTGGTTTGTCTTTATACTGTCAGTTTTTTGACAAAAGAGATGTGTCTTAATTATTTTTGCACCCTGAGTGCCTTTCCTAGTGAGTTCTCAGTACTTGATTCTTAAATGTAAATGGTCTCCCCAGCTTCCAAGACAACTTAGCATAAATCCCTGGTGCCCTAACTTCCTGGCTCATCTGTGTGTCATCTTTACTAAGGAGCATATGCCTGGACTGCTTGGTATACATTGAATGAAAACCTTACTGCTACCTCTCTTTCTGCTCTCAGGGTCTGTATTCCTGTGTGGTATGTCCAGGTACAATGATGACGAATTTGACGTATGGGATCCTACCTCCCTTTATATGGACACTGATTATGCCATTTATATGGCTGGTAAGTGATAACTTTACTTAGACTGCTTAATTTGGGACCTTGGGACAAGACATAGAAGTGTTAAAATGTTGGGGAATGGTTTAAGAAATTGAACCCAAAAGTGGAGAATTCCATTTCATTCAAGTTTTTGAAGTCTCTTGTTATGTCGCCACTGTTTCATACTCTGTGCTGTTTGCACTGCACCACCCTCTGAGTGTCCACTGCTCTTTCAGGGAATGCTTCTCTGGTTGTGCACTGTAGATCCCGAGAGCTCTGTGATGATGTAATCTGGGAACATCTGTGTGATGCGATTAACCTGGATTTCTCTGAGCTTTTAATGTGCTGTGTGCATGGAAAGTTCCCTAAAGGGGAAGATTATGCACTGTATGCCCAGAGCCATGTTTTTGTTTGTTTTCTTTTATGCTCTGAGCATCTTGCAGGACAAGTGCTCCTTTAACACACATTAAAAAAATACTGCTTCTAGGAAAGAGCTTAGAGGAAAAAGAATGTCATTTCTATGCCTATAGTATAGTAGGCATAGAAAAAAGATGAGAAGAAAATATGCCTTCTTGTTACAAGTGGTTGACTTAGAGCCATGGAGATTAAGTGAAACTACTTTTTTTTAGCTTTTTTTGACATTTAGAAACTGTTCTATAATAAGAAATGTTTTATAATAATATTTATAATAAGGTTTTCTTTTTTTAATACATAAGTGCGTGATATTTTTGTGACACAGTTCTAAACCACCAAAATGACGATTTTTTTCTCTTCCTCAGTTACGCTTTTTTGCTAATGCTTTCACTTTGACACCGTTCAATGGGACAGAAGCACTGGTAAGTTACTATGTTTCCATGGCTTATAATATAAGGGCTTAGCAAAATGTGAATTTTAAGGTCACTGGTGGTGCAACATCTCAAAAGAAAAGATACTAAGAGAAGTTATGTGAGTAACCTAAGTCCTGCTTAGGTCTAAGGTGAGCATTAAGGCTAAGTGTAGAGCAGTACGAGTGAAGTTTCAAAGTTGAGTATCTATGATGCCACTAGATACCATGGCCGGATAACACTGCAGAAATAAATACAGCCTTTTGGCAGTACCAAACATACTGGCAGCTAAAAGAGAGGTATAACCATGAGACTAGAGGGCAGGCAAAGCAAGATGGTGACCAGGCAGCCAGTGAGGGAGTTCCGTGGAGAAAATACTCAAGTACTCAAGAGTAGAGGCAACAGAGTCTAGCTCCATTTTCTTATATGAAGATTCCTCTTCTCTGCCCATGTTAGAGAATAAAGTTGTTGCTTTATTTGGAACCAGGTCCTGAAATCACATATGGCAAAGGCCTTGAGTGTGTTTCCTTGTCATTGGCAGACATTCCCAGTGGATCATACTATTTTCTGTTGTTCACTATGATGTCTCTGAATATTTTTCAACCCTAGGCCCCCAAAACAGCTCTAGTAATGGATCAGAGTTGCCATACAAGATGAGTATAATTTGTTATCTGTACTTATACCATCTGGGTGACATTCCATTGTATTATCGTCAGTTCTTTGTGTTTTTATCTCACTCAGTCCTTTGAGCTTCTTCAGGATTTTTGCCATACATCTTGGAAATTGGAGGCCTAACACTTTAGTGCCTGTATTTAGTAGATTGTTAAATGTTTACTGGGTTGGCATTAACTAAGGAAAACATTAAGGAAATTGACCTGACACTCTTGTTTTGATAAACATTGCAAAAATAAATACATTTTTTGTAGGAACATGAGTTGATTATAGAAGCAAGTGCTTTTAAACTAATTTTAATTAGTCCTTCATATATTTGCCAAGCCATTAGAAATAGTAATGAGTAATCTAAGGATTATTCATTCTGCATGTCTGTACACTGAACATCTGGAAGTTAAGTATATATTGAGTGTCAGTTGGTGCAGGGAATAGTTAGAAGACAAATCTGCAGTTATTTAGGCGCTTAGAGTCATGGTTACAAAAAAGAATGAATGTAGAGGAATAGAAAATCAGACATTGTATCATTGGGTGGTCAGAACCCTAGGAATAATCAGAAAGGACAATCACTGAAGAAGTTGGAGCTGCTTTGCGCACTAAATAAGGCTTGACCTGGACTCTGAGGAGACACGGATTTGGGCAGGACAGGCAGCATGGCCTCTAATACGGTAGTAGGAGTAAATGAGAAAAGGCTCATTGTAAAGAATATCAGCAGATAAAATTGAAAAGAAAATGATCTTAATGAAAACAGTACAGTTCTGGCATGTGAAGTGACAAATATTGGAATAAAATAGAAAGTTCAGAAATGGGCCCACAGCATAGTGGGAATTAGGGTATGCTACTGATGGCATTCTACACTAAGATGATTTGCTCAGCAAGTGTTGTTGCCAAAAAATACAATAGGATCTTTTCTTCACACCTTATGTCAAAGTAAAATCCTATATAAATTAAAGGATTTACATATAAAAATTACAATATATGATTATTAGAATAAGATGGTAAAATTTTAAATGTTTAAGAGTTTGGAAGCTTAGCTTCTTTTAGGAATCACAAAAGAAAAGTCTGAAAATTTTGACTCAATAAAAGATTTTTGCATGACCAAAACCATACTATAAATATACTTTAAAGACTAACCATAAATTGGGAAGAAAAATACATGCCCTTCATATCAGAGGTAACAATTTAATTTTCTTAATAGTTAAGGAGCTTCAATAGATCAAGAAATAATGCATTGGAGCAGTGACAAAGGACAGTAGCAGAGAGTTTTTAAACTTTTAATTATATGAAAAGATGTCAGTCTTACTTATTTGCTACAATGAATAAACTCCAATTAGCAAAGATTAGAAAGTTTGATAAGACACTACATTGGCAAAAATATAGGAAAATGAGCTGGGGGAGAATAAATTGATAGAACCTATAGCAAGGACTCTTTGGCAAGATCAAATTATGAAATGTACATATCCTTAACCCAGCAATTCTGTCTTTAGTGTCTTATCGCTATCCTTTGACTTATATGAGATAATGAATTTATCACTATACAGTTTGTAACATCAAAGACTAGAAACAGCTTTGTCCAAACTATATGTCCATCAGTGGAAACTAATTATATAAGTGGTAGTATAACCATGAAGTAGAATACTGTGCCTGTAAAAAAGAATGAAATAGCTGTACATAGATTGAATGGAAAGTCTCTCTGAGACCTGTTGTTCAGTGAAAAATGTGAAATAAAGACTAGTGTTTATATTTTGATTTCATTTGAGTAAGAGTAAAGGGTATATATGTTTATAAGCTAATAGATTTCCTTTGGAAGAACACACAAGTTACTAGTAAGAGTACTTGCTTCCAGAAAGGAGAAGTAGGTAGCTAGAAAACTGGGAAAGGAGGGAAACTTGCATTTTACGTGTATATTTCTTGAACGTTGTGTATGTACATACTTATCTATTAATAAAACAAAATATTGTATCAGTGACCTGTACTTTTCTGTGGCATGAGTTGAATGTCAACCTGAATAAACTAATCTGTATGCCATGAACTTTAATTTGGGAATTAAAGGAAGAGACAGCTAAAATAGGAACTTTGTTTTGGGTGGGGGGACCTTAGGTAAAATTTCCAAGGGCACTGTTAACCCATCTGCCCTACTTCTTTCAAATTAGAGTAGTGTTTTATGAAGGGCTCACAATTAACTGATGATGTTCAAGAGGATTTTTAGAGTTTATTTGGAGTTGTTAAGTATGATGGCAAATATCCCCACCTGCCTTAGTCATCTTGGGCAGAAGAAAAAATCATTGACATGCTCTTCCTTTCTAGGTATGGCTTTTCCACCAAAAACCTGAGTCTCTCAATCCTTTCATCAAATATCTCAGTGCCACCACTGGTTTTGGAAGTAATTATGTAGTAAACCAAAAGGTAAATCTGTTGAAATTGTTTCATCGAAAAGTTTTGCTGCTGGGCAAAACTGACGCCACCGGCTGCCAGCTCCTTCCAGGGTCTGTGCTGTGTTCTCTGGCTTCACTCTGGCCTGTTGTCCTTTCTGACTGCTCTCATCTGCCTCTGAGCCTTTGTGCACCTTCCTCCTTGAAGTGCTCTTATTCTTTTGTCTTAGTGATAACTACTTGTCTGATCTCAGCTTGTATTTCAGCCCTTTGTGTTCCTTGGGTCAGCCCCTTTTGTAGACTTTCTTGACATACCTATGTTGTATAATATTTTTTCAACATTGGACTCTTCTGCCTAAATATAAGCTCTGAGGAGGAGGATGTTGCCTTGCACATAGTGGGTACTAAATAAATGTATCGCAAGTTGTATGAAACAAAGTGTCATCCTGAGTGACGCTAACTTCTCTTTGAGTGTGGGATTCTGCTTGTGACAATTGTTAGTGTTAAAAGATTGGTGATAGGAAGTGGTATATGGAAAAAGCTCAAGACTGATTTTGGACCCTATATTCTTTTTAAAAGAAGTCAAACATAAAGTCACATATTAGGCATTAGGAAATGAGAGCACTTATTTTGAACTTGAAGAATTCTTTTTGTTGTGAGTAATGTTTATTTTAACCTATTTTTCACTGCATACCTTTCTGTGGAGGTGTTGGCATAAAATAAAATTAGATTGAGGCAAAAGAGATATCTCAACTAAGTGAAATAATTGGCAGTGACCTTCATCTGTCAGTAGCATGGGGTCTAAAGGTGACCAGGCTCTTTGCTTCCCATGGTATCTATTTACTAAAACTGAATTTCCAGTGTTTTCCAAAGTATGTTCTGTGAGATACTAGTTTCTTGAGAAGATTTTCAAAAAGCAGTTTGTCACACAAGTGCATTTGAGAAAAGTTTCACATTAGCCTAGTGAGAAGTTGAAACAATTAAGTATGTCTGAAATGTGTAGTCACAGTGTTTACAAATCGTTCTTGACTAGATGACATTTCCTCCAAAATTTATATGACACTTAATGATAACATTCCAAAGAGCACATTTTGGGGATTCTATTGTAAATTAAAAAGCTAACTTTCAGACACTTGGAGTTTGTTTGAATTTACTGTCTATTAATATTGAGGGAATGATTTGGGGAGAAAATGTTTAATTCTATAAAGCATTTGATTGGCATTTTCTGGAAGGGCATCAAAGAAGGCATTTTAACCTTTGATTAATTTAGGAGGGTCAGGCCTCTCTGGTAGCCTAAGGGGTTAAGTTTTAGCACTTTGAAGTTATTGGCAGCCACTGCAGCATGAATTCTATCCTTGCCCACGGAGCTGACCCACATGGTGCAGCAGACCTCTCCTGTCTTGCCTGCTGTTCCCCTCAGCAGTGTTTTTCAGTAGATCTTCCTGTTCTGCTCCCCGCTCTGTCTCTGGTGGATCCTCTCACCCCGTGCCTTTCTGGCCTGCACCCCAGCTCTTGTATGCATAAATAAATAAACCTTTAAAAAAAAGAAAAAATTTTGGGAATTTCAGCCTCCTACTCTCTTAAAAGGTGGGGCTGAACCAGAAGAGCTCTTCTTCCTCTTTCATTTCTAATGTGGAAAAATTCTAGTGTGACTGAATGAATATAAATATTACTTCCATAACATAAATGTTTAACTTTTCAGATTTGTGGAGGAAAATCCTGTTTCTGAAGTTCAGGTGCTATATTAACTTAAAAAGGGTATTTTATAGGGACTGGAAGTTTGCTTTTACTTATAATGTATTGGTTAAAATTAAATTTTTACTTGGAACAGAGCAATGTAAAATAACTGGGTTAAACAGGTATGCTTAGATTTCTCACATGTAAAAGCGGTTTGGAAAGAGGCAGGCTTGGGTTGGCATGGCAGTTCCGGAAATTCCAGGTTCCTCCCAGTCACAGCTAGCTCTGCCATCCCTGGGGCATGCTCCTCATCCTGCAACTCAAGAGCGCCCTCTGTAGGAAGAGGGAAGGAAAGGGAGGCCATTACTTTTAGGTGGTACCACTCAAGTGCTTGTGCATTTCATTGGTCAGGAACAGTTTAAGAGGAGCACGGGATCGGTTTGGTGAGTGCTGGAGTGTGGACTGAAAGTTAATTATGTCTCAGGATCTCAAGGTTGTCTAGCACTCACCACCACTGCTGCTCCTTCTTGGTCCCTGTCCTCTTTCTGTTACATATATGTAACGTATATGTACATATGTTCTCTTGCATATATGGAATGCTTTCCTTTTTTTGAGCAGATTTTTACGAATCATTTGGGTCTTCTGTTTGTTTGTTTTTACATTTGACGAGGTTGCTGGGTCTCTAAATGTAAAATAATACATTGTGTATAACATTATGTAGGTTTCAAGAATGCAGCTTTATAAATCAGTATCTGTGTATATTGCATTATGCTTGCAATCAAAAGTCTAGTTTCCATTCTTCACCATATAGTTGGTCCTTTCACCTGACTTACCCAGCCTTCTTTCCTCTCCCCTTCTGGTAACTACTATTTTCTTCTTGTACCCTAAGAGTTTATTTTGTTTTGTTTATTCACTAGCTTTGTTCCTTTATCTTCCATTTGTAAGTGAAATCATATAGTACTTGTCTTCCTCTGACTTAGTTCTCTTAGCATAATACCCTCTAGATATCCAAAAAGCCTTCCTTTTATATAAATACTATTCATTTCATTTTTCCTTCTTAGTCATCCCTATCTTTGCTTCTTTTCCAGATGGACCTAGATGAAGATACTGCTGAAAAATTTTACCAAAGTTTACTGGACTTGGGAAAGCATATTAGGGCTACCATTGAGAAAACAGATAACCTGGGCTGATGGTCTGGATCTTTGTGTACCTGCTGTGCTTCCTGGGCCATGGTGGTTTCTCTTGAGCTGGGTGATGTGCATTTGGGGTAAATTATGAACTCTGGTGGTCTGTTTTCATTCCTTTCTTATTTACCTCTAAGACTGTATGTGTGCACATGAAGGAAATACTGAGAAAACAAAAAAGAACAGTTATTCTCCAAAATGGTGTCATGTCAAAATTGTGCTGGAGTCATGCAACAGAATATCTGTTAGTGTATGTTCTCCCAACTCAGCCCAAGCTAGGCTACGTGAGATGAGATGTGGCCTTGGGTGATCGTGACCAGACACATACCTGTCCTCTCTTTGACACCCCCCCCCCGACCGAAGGCCTCAAGTCAGAGAAATGCTGCCCTTTCTCTTGAGTGGCAATCTGAGCTTTGTTTCTTCTCTTCTCAGCAAGTTTTATAGGTCTTTTTGCCTTATTTCTTTATCTACATGTTGCTTCTAACACTTTTGGAATTGTTAGAATCCTAATCCAGATGCTCATAGGAACAAAATTATGTGTGTGTTTGGGTCACGTGAGTTATTTCTGTTTTATTTTACAATTGTCTTTTTTTGATATTGAGGTGTGCAATCCATGTTAATATTGGACCTGACCTTTAACACCATTTGCAAGTTTGGTCATTAAAGATGAACCCATTTTTATGATCATATTTTAATGAATATAAATGTACATCTAAGAATGATTGCAACATTTTTGTAATAAAATTTTCCAATTGAATAACTGCTGATGGGATATCTGCTGGTTCCAGTAGTTGAAAGTAGTTAGGATTTAATTTACACAACCTGAAGACAAGGCCAAATGCCTAGACGTTCTTACCCAAAATCAAACCGACACGAGAAAGAGTAAAATTGAAAAAAGACTTTTAATATCTATATATACATTTTAAAGTATTACCTTTTTTGTTATGATTTCTTGAATTTTGCTGCTAAAGGTTTTTTAAAATCAGGTTAAACCTTCTATGAGTTCTAGACACTACCAGTCAGTCACCACTACCTTTGTGAAGCAAGTGTGAAGTTGGAACTTTTTTCCTTTCACTCTCCCCGTCAGTTTGGAAGATGAACTTTATTGCTTTATTGGGATTCTTACCTGGAAAGTGGAGGAATTAATACTCTGCTTAATCTGTCCATGGGTATGGAATGAAGGAACACCAACTGCAGTAATATATGTGAATGAATAAAGAGCATTCTTCTGAGAACTTCGATAATGTCTTCTTTAGAGATTAGTAAGCTAGAATGTCAAGCTCAAATGCTAGTATTAGGCACTGAATGACGACTTCCGCCTGACTGAGAGTGACTTGTTTGCTGAATGGTGGGTCTTGGTGGATGCTGCAGAATTGTGAAGTTATATCCTTGTGGGTACACAGTCTGTATAAACTATTATGTCATTCTGTTCTGTATTAGGTACTTAAAAGGAGCTTTTAGACATGAGCGACATCCTGATTCATATCACTTATGTTGTGTCAGGTTGCTCTAGACTTAAACTCAGTAAACTCAGACTTAGCTCAGTAAACTCTAGACTTAGATGATTTTGTATCTGAACTTGGCTACCACTTTGAAGGTTCAGTTACTAGATAGTTGGGCTCTAGGAGATAGCTGCTTTTTTTTATTTTTAAAATTGGCTAATCACATTTCTAGGGACAGGTACATTTGTTCTGAGTTCCATGATGGGTTTAATATAAATAATTCTTTTGTTTCACAGGTAGGTATTGAGCACTGCATTATTGAGTTTTCAGAATATAGAATCAGAGCATGGATGATAGAAGGAGGCATTTCAAAATGCATTTAGGAGGTATTCCAGAAGGAGAGAAAGGGGCAGTCTTTGAATATATAAAAGTTGGGCATTTTTCACAATTGATAGCAGACATGATCTCACATTCAGGAAAAGTGACACATTTCAAGCAAGAAAAATCACAAATAAATTGAAAATTGAGATAGGGCAAAATGGAAGAGGACCAAAGAAACTCACTGGTCAATTAAAGAAATAGACTACTAGTAAAAGTTGACAAGTAAGTAACACTAGATTTCTTTGATTGTTGGCTATCATGGAAATAATAGTGACTTCAAAGCACTAAATGAAAATAAATCCATCTAATCTAATTTCAAGAGTGAGGCTGAATAGGATTTTGAGGCAAAAGTTGAGAGTTTATCTCTAAACCTTCCTGAAAGTTTGACCTGTAACATCCCTTTTTTGAAAAAGAGCCCTAGAACATGTACTTACTGAAGAAATTGGAAACAAGGGAGAAATGAGATGCCAGAAGAATTCAGGACTAAAGAAATTTGCCAACGTATAGATTAATCTTAACATTAGTTTTTGAAAATATTAATAAAAATGACCAGTTTCAGGAGGCGAAAAAGCAAGGCAGCAATATGTGAGATGGAAGACTTGATTGGAGTTAGATATTAAAAGTATTGATCAGAAGATAAAGCCACTGATGAACTTTAGACATTATATCTGGTGTACTTATTAACATATTAATGGCAACCCTTATAGTGCAGAAGTAAAATATACAATTTCCAAGCCAATGGAGGATCTCTCGTGGCCAGAGATTCTCCCAGGAACTCTGGGTCACAGTGGAACCCACTCTGGACAGGACACCCTTTCATCACAGGGGGCATCACTCTATATACACCCACCCTTGTGCTGACTGGGGCCATTGAGACGAGCCAGTGAACCTTATGTACACAACTTTGGGGTATGGGAGGAAATGGCTGCGCTCTGAGAAAACACTCTTGACGTAGGGAAGATGTACAAACCCCTCACAGACAGTGACACAGCCAGTAATGGATGGTGGTTTCCTCATCAATATGTCAATGGAATGACTTTGAACAAAACATTACTGGAGGCCTGCCATGTAACAATTTAACAGCTAACCCAGCAGAATTCTTCAGTCCTACTGATGTTTGCCATTCCAGCTGTCCAGCAGCTCAAAAGTAACTTCAGTTGAAAGGCACCAACCTCTAAAGATTTAAGCTAGGTCTTTCTTACCTGTTTGGATGGGAGTAAGTACAATAGGGAGAGCAGCTGACCTTGCTCTAAAGCCTCAGGGCTTCCTGGAGCACACTTTTCATCTGGCAGATTTGCCAGGATTAGCCTTCCCTCATCAACTCAGAGTGAGTTCTTTGTGGAGTATCCACACCCCTGGATTTCCATTGTTTTGTCTAATGTGGCACCTTGGAGCCCAGGACTTTGCCCATGGAGCCCATGGGACTGGCTGCACAGTAGGTCTATTTTTATGTTCTTATGTTAGGATCTTCAGAGTTTGTCAAATACTTATCTCTTTGCCTTAGGTGAGTTGGAATGGGGGAAAGGTGAGGACTCAGTTCCACTCAAATCACTGACACTTCTGACTGAAATCCAAATGTAAAATAGCCAAACAAATTGCATCAGTGGTTAATTAAAAAAAAATTTGTGACTACTGCCTATAATCTGAAGAAGAAAAAAGTGCTCTGCTTCGTGACTATAATAGGCAGAATTCAAAATTTCCCTGGTAGTCTTTGCCCTGTGTTATTCTCATGCCTATTATTTTATGTGGTACAGTTAGCCTTCAAAGACAGGTTATTCTGGATCATTCAGATGGGCCCAATGTGTCATATGAGCCCCTGAAGAAAAAGAGGTTAAGTTGGAAATTTGAAGCTGAAGTAGAGACTCTTGTGGTGCCTGCAAGCTACTATGCAGCAGAAAAGACAGGTGACAGGAGAAGACTGGTGACCTGTGGAGGCTGAGGTTGCCCCTCTACCTGACAAACAGCAAGGAAACAGAGACCTTGGATTTACTGTGCAAAGAGGATCCTGGTAAGGACCTAAGTGAACATGGATTTGAAATGTACTGAGACTCCAGAAAGAGACCTGCCTGACCAATACCTCAATTTTAACCCAATGAAACTCTGAACAGAAAATCTAGTTATTTGTGCTGAACTACTGACCCACGTTACTGAGAAATAATACAAGTGTGACAATTAGTTATGACAGCAAGCAGTCAAAAACGAATATAATACTCTACAGCAAGACCAATTTCACATTGATCAATGATGAATAAATACAATTATAAAAGAATTCAAACTATGTGCACAATAAATTATCATGAAATCAAGATACAAATAAACTGGAATGGGAGAAAGAATTGAAATATGGAGAGTCAATAATGTAATACTTAAAGAATTTACACAAATCTATAGTAAATATTAAAGATGCTTAATCTTACCCATGCTAAAATGAATTCAAAACTACATGACTGATCACCCTTTCACTTCTTTTAGCAAATACCCAAAGGTTTTTTTTCCGGGTATGAAAGAACAGGCATTTCCATTTTGTTTGTGATATGAACTCCTTTGAAGAACAGTTTGGCAACATCAAAATTTTATATGCACATATCCTTAGCAACTCTGTTTTCAAATTTATTCTTAAGATACATACTCATAAATATGTACAAAGATATCTGTAGCAGCCCACCATCACTTGTCTAAAACCTTTAGTGCTGAATTGCTTTAGAACTTAAAATTGCTTGAATTTTAGGAAGATAAGCTGGTGCACATAATACAGTGTTTTTTGTAATGACTCTACAGGGGGCTGGGATAGAAACCTGTAATCAAGCCCAGTGATACATCAGTAGAAAAGACACTAAAATCCACATCAAGTAGTATAAAGACTAGAAATAGCTTTCTATCTGTTGAGTTCTAGTTTAGCTGTCAAATATGCCAGAAATTTGAAAGAACTGTTTTTCAAAATGTTTGAGGTTTTGGAATTGCAAATAAGGGATTTTAGACCTATACAGGAACATTCATTGCAGCATCCCTTCCCTCCTGAGCCCTCTCCTCCCCCTCCAATAACAAAGGAGTAGAAAACAAACATTTTTGCTCATACTCAGGGATACTGGATAAAGAATTATATTGCATATCATAAAATACAATAAAAGTGTTAATATAAAGTTATCCAAAAGTATGAAGTGAAGTAAAGAAATATAAGCAGGTATATATAGATAGGCATTAAGTGAACAAAATGCTGTTAAATGTGTTTTTTTTTTAAGATTTATTTATGCATACAACAAATGGGGTACGGGCCGGAGGTGTGGGGGATGAGAAGATTCACCAGAGACAGAGTGGGGAGCAGAGCAGGTGGGTCTACTGAAATACACTGCTGAGGGGAGCAGTGGGGTGAGACAGGAGAGGTCTGCTGCACCATGTGGGTAGCTCCCTGGCCGGGGATCAAACTCATGCTGCAGTGGCTGCGGACAGCTTCATAGTGCTGTGTGTAACCCCTTGCACCACCAGGGAGGCCTCTAAATGTGTGTATTTTATGTGTATTACACACACACACACACACACACACACACACGGTCTCTGGATCTATATGAAACCTGAGTTCTGTGACAATGACTGCTTCTGGAAGATGAACTGAAATGCTTGTCTTTGCATTCCTAGTACTTAATTTGTAGTTTATATATTCGAATTTACTTTTAATTGTCAGCATGTATCACTCAAAATGAGAAAACCTCTAGGTTGTTAAATGGTTAAGATTCAGCTGTCTCCTTGTCTTCTGCATGGGAGTTGTCACCACTCCTTGTGGTGAATGTTTGGAAAGATGACGCTGAGAAACCAAGGAAAATACATAAGAGGGAAACTGATTTGAATAATTTATATAGGTTCCGTTTTAATAGTAGGCAGTTGAAAGGGGTGACCTCTTCTATATGCAATATTTATTGTGATACACAATTCACTTACAACTCTTTATCAAAACCCAATTATTTTATACTTCCTTCTGTAAACAAAGGAATCAAAACAAATGGAAAGTTTTTCAAAGATGACTGCAAGTAGAAGTGCGAAGGAGGGAAAGAAGAGATGTGAGATTGGAATATGATCTCAAAAATGACACCTGGGATCGATTATTACATTTGAAATGAAGCGAAAGAACAACAGCGGGGGTGGAGTGGGGTTGCGATTCAAACAGTGGGTCAACATTTTACCTGCTAGTAAAAAACAAACAAACAAACAAACAACCTTATACACAGCTCGAGCCTGGGAGGAGGATGTGCGTGTAGGCGAAGATGGATGTAGGAACAGCGAGGATGGTTGTGAATGAAGTAAGGCGACAGGTGGCGAGTTCCTACTCCTGCTCCCTGCGCTCCTCGGTCTGGCCAGCAGGGGTCGCCCAGTCACTGCGCCGGCGGATGGTACAGGTGCGGCCTGGACACCTGCCCAGGCTCGG